GGGCTCATATTACTGGATAAGGGGCCTGAGGGAAGTGTGGCTTGCTAGTCTGTTACGTTAACATGCTTTTCTAAAAACGCTCCCCTTGTCAATTCATTTACTCCTTCATTCATTGACTGTTTTTGTTCCTTTCCATTCACTTTGTACTTGTTTTCTCCCCCCATTAAATTTTGCATTTATTTTGAGTTTTTTTGTGGTGTCTTTTTTGGGCAGTAGCTTTTCTGATTTAACAAGTTTTCTAGCCTATTAATCTGCTACCACTGTGGTAAAATACAGCTTGTCTTTCCTGTGAACTTTGTGGGGTGGATCAGCTTCTATAGGAATTACAGGGTTTATGCAGGACACGAAGAAGGCAAACCCTGCCCTTGAAGAGTTTGCACCCTTGTGGGAGAGGCTTGACATGGGACCGCTAACACCTGAGTTCTTATTGTGTGCCAGGCGCTGCTCCCAAGTACAGTACATGCATTAATCCCTCTAAACTTAGAATTTTATGACTAAGTACCATTTCCCCCATTTCATACCTAAGCACAGAGAGGCTAATTAATTACCCAAGGTCACACAGCTAGTAACTTGGAGGTATTGGGATTGGAATATTGGTAACCTATACCTTTAATTCGTGAGCTGTAGCTGCTCTTTGGCAACCTTATGAATGCTGGGAGAACAGTGGAAATGCAGCCAGTATGAAAGTGTTCAGTCTGAGTGTGGGTGGATGGGCCTGAGATGGTTTTGTAGAGGTGGGATGCAGTGGTAGGCAGGCAAATAGTTGGTTAAGGAAGGTAGTCTTGTGGTTGAAGGAAGTGATGACAAGCGCATGGGTCCATTTGTTGAGTTTTCTCTGTTGGGCACTAGACTAATCTCTGTGAAGACCAGAATGAGGAGGTTGGGACTAAAGTCTGGGGAGCTGACAGCCCAGCAGGGAGACTGGTATGCAGACACCCCTAATGAAGGTACAGCTCAACTCCACCCCCAGGGAGGCAAGGAGCAGGGAGGAAAGTCTTCACCAAGATTTGAATGACAGATTCTCCTGGAACCAGGGGAGAAGGGCCTTGTTGGTGAAGGGGACAGCACTGTACAACTCGGCTCACCCATTAGAGGGAAGAAATATTTGGACAAGTTTAAGATAGGTACATGATGCCCACCAACCCTTAGCCCATCTGAGCCTTCTCCCCTCTCCATTTTCTGCAGCCACAGTACTTCTGTAGAGGGGACAAAAGGAAGATGGATTGTGTCCATATTTCTCCCACCACAATGATCCCCAACCTCTGATCTGAGGTGGGATATGAGTTCCTAATCTAAAAAGAGAGAGAGAGAGAGAGAGAGAGAGAGAGAGAGAGAGAGAGAGAGAGAGAGAGAGAAGGAAATGTTAGAGGAGAGTAGATGGGACCCCAGCTCAATATTGAATAGCATCAAAAAATTTTTTTTTAACTTACAAATGGTACTTAGGCAATACAGAAGTTTGCTTCCCCAAAGAAGAGGAATTTTATTTACAGAAAGATGGAGCCACAAGGCTGTCCCTTAGCCCAATACTGGGCTTCACAGATCTACCTTCTCTTTTGAAATTCAGAGTTGGATTCGCTCTGGGGACTCAGCTTACATCCAGGCTACCATCTAAGAGGTCCAGATACCTCCCACCAGTTCCCCAAAGTCAAAGGTAGCCTGAGCTGGTGTGGGCGCTCAGGATGAGCCCCACCCCACCCACTGCGGTGCCCACTGACAATGGAGGGAGGGAGGCAGAGGACAGTCCTGGCCACTGATGAGAGCTGTGGCCATGAGCTACATGCTGCTCTTGGCATCTCCATCTGTGCTGAGGACAGTTATTGATGAGGCCCAGGAGATGGTATTCCAACTGTGCCTGACTCTAGCAAGTCTAAGTGAATGGTACCCACTATATGTAAAATATTCAGACAGGGTTGCAAGGACTTAAAGTTTATTTTAACAAAAGCTCCAACAAGCAAATTTTTTTCAAGAAAAGATCAGGATCGGTACCGACTACAGTGCAGACAACTATTATAGAATATCTGGGCCTTGACCACTTTGCACCCAGTAGCAGGTCATACACCCCATGGCTTAGCACATTTACAAAAACTGTTCACATTGGAAAGACTTCACAAACCACCTCTAAATGTGTGGTTCAGTCATTCACATCCCAACACTACTTACACAGCTCCGGCTGGCATCTCTGCCAGCTGGACTCCACTGCTTAAAAAATGGCTCTATAGTGTCCCAGCTTCAGAGAGGCAGCTGGCGTCTCCCTCACAGCCATGCTAATCACCTCCTCCTCCTCCTCTTCCTCCTTCCAGCAGCACTGAGGTTGGAGCAGGCTCGGCCTCAGAACCTGCTCATCTCAACAAAAGCTCTTGGAGCTGCACCTCCCATCACAGGCGTCACACCTTGAAATATTCTTCAGCATAAAAATTTCTCTAGTTATGCCGATCAACGACATTGCTTAAGAGTAAGGGAAAATATTCTTAAAGCTTGATCAAATTATCCTACATTAAACAAAGCGTACTTTATAATACAGTCCTTGTGAAGAGAAGAGTAAGTCATGGCCAAATCAGGGTAATTGTATCTGGAGGGACTGTCCTGTTTTTGCAGTGGCAGGCAGGCTGGCCGGGGCTTGAGGTGCTGCACATGTGCTTGCTATGAGCCTGGGAGGCCGGAAGGACCTGGCCAGCTCTGGGGGGTAGAGCAGCAAAACCTGATCAGTCAAAACCAGCCTGGCCCTAAAACAAAAAACACACAAAACAAAATAAACAAAACAACCAGCCCGGCCCTTCAGCCCTGAGCAAGGCCTTCCTCTGGCTTCATACTCCAGCTCGCTTGGGGCTGATACCAGCCCTTGCTGGGGAAGGAAAACCAAGCTGCAGCATCAGCGCTCATTCGTTCTCCCTGGGAAAAGGTCCAGGGGAAAGAAGGGAGCAGGGCCCTTATCTCTAGTGACCCCAACCTTTTTTCCCTTTATTTTCTTCTAAGGACCCAGGAATTTTTTCTCAGTTGTTCTTCTAGGGCTTTTCCCCTTTCTTGTTACAAAATCCATACAGCCTAGAATTCAGAGGTGGCCAACAAAGGAGAGGTTGCCATTACGCTCTGAAGGGCACTGGGGTAGGAGCGCAGGTGAAAGAAAAAGTTGTCTGTGCAGGAGGAGGACTAAACTAACTTGTCAGCTGCAGCTTTACCAATATCAAACTGCTCAATGCCGACCTGTAATTAAAACAGAGCGGTCATCTTGGTGCGGAACCACTTTACATTCTAAGGAATGAGCGGTGAGCGTCCAGATGTTAGCCTGGAGCAATTTCAGAAAGGGGTCCAATCACAAAACGTAAGCACATTAACCTTACCACCTCAGGGACACCCATCTCCAACCCCAGTAAAACTGTCATGAGTCTAACTATGCATTCCGCCCTACTCTGTCCATCCTGAGAGATTCTGACCCCCCTCCCCCGCCCAATGCCTGGGATCATAGACTCATATCGATGGTGAGAGGTCTGAAATGTACACTCCTCAGTATTAAGCTCTGGGTTGCTTCCTTCTGAACTGGACACCACGGCCCCCCTCCTCTTGGCTATAAGGGCTGCCACCGAGATAAAGCTTTTCTCACCGTCAGAGAAACCCACCAACTGGCCCAGTGAGGGGAACGTGTATCCCATACCCAAGTCCAGAGGGTGTGCCAAGTGCGGAGAGCCTCGCCCTGCGGCAGACCCTTCACAGAGTCATCATGGCCAGAGCATCTTGGGCCGAGGGCCAAGCAGGGCCATGGGTCCCCTTTTGGAGACAGAGCGTGGCAGCTCAGGGAACAAAACTGAGAGCTTGGTCTGGGGGCAAAGTTGATGTCTACCTGTGCTTTCTTTAGCAGATCAGAGATAGGAGCACACCAGTCGGGCATGAGCCTCTCCAACTCTAAGGTGATGATGACCAAGGCCAGTGTGGAGCCCTTGAACTGCAGCAGTTGGTGGCCCGCCATGCAGTGCTGCAGCTGCTTGGTCAGGGACGCGACGTGGAGGGAAGGATTCCTCTGAGGCAGCAGCTCCGCCACGCGGGGCCAGCCCACGACCACCAGGGCGTGGAACTGGAGATTGTGGTTTTTAATGTTAGAACAGAAAACCCCATACTTTTCATAGATCAATGACCAAAAGTGCAAACAACTTAAATTTTCATCAGGGAGCATCAGATGTTGCCCAGTCCCTTTCACTTCCATTCATGGCCCCACAAGGGGCTCGAGGCTTCATGCCCATTCTGTGGTCAAGCTGAGTTTCAAGCTTGGAGAGAAAAGGCAGTCTGCTTTCTCACTTGGCCTTAAGAGGCCCGAAGTACCCAGATAACAATGTTCCAATGCTGAAAAGTGGCAGAAAAGTTACTTGTATCTGCCTGATATGAGAAGAAACTGCAACTTGGCAACAGTGGCCAGTTTTCATAATGAAACAGCCCTTGGTGATATAATCTTCATGCCTCATAACAAACCAAAACCCCATGACATTTCCACACTGCATAATTTTGCCTTACTAACAGAATCATATCCTTGAAGATGACCATCATTCCCTAACTAACACAAATACCGACTAATATGATATTTTTAAGTGCCAGATCAATATGGTCTAAGCCTCAATAAGGATTGTGTGTAGGTGAATCAAGACAGCTAAGTGAATGTGTGTAAAGTGTAACAAGAGCAGACAGCTTTTTATGTACAGTATTCATAGAATGGAAAGTTAAATATTTTTGCAATGTGTATTTAAGAGAAACTCACCATAATAGTGCCGTCTAAAACTCTTTGTAAAGTTACTCTCATGTCCTTTAGAAGTGGAAGTCTGGTGGAACTGTGTTGGATTTAAGATACATTTTCACTGCTCCATATGTCATGAGCCTTGTGGGCCACCTTTTTGTGGTGCATGTGCAAGGACGTGTGCACGCGTGTGCTTGGCCGTCCTTTGTTGTGAGCTGTTCCAAAGGCACAGATGAGTCTAGGGTAGACTCTGCAAACTCCCTGTACTCACTATGTTCAAGAAGTCCAGCGGCGTCCCAATACAGAGATCCCAGTGCAGTTTGTCCAAAATAGCCAGCTCCATCCTTAGCACCTCTCTTGGGGTATAGTCAGAGCCGCAGTACTTGATGAAGTCCTTTATGCGTGGAATTAACTGTAAAAAGACAATAAAGAGGCCAAAGCCCTGTAACATGTCATGGTAGCTTTTTTTTTCTTATCCATGGGGCTGGACATCCGTGAGCCTAATAGAATTGTCTTCAAGTGACCTAACAGAAAATACTTCTGAGGGAAAGACCTACCCAGATCTAGATTGTCAAGTCCCTCGGTAGCTGTTACAATGTGTAGTGAATATCACATGGTCACCCTCTGCAAACAGCTTTTGAGTCCCACCTGCACTTCAGCTCACACCCAAAGGTGCTTTGGAGACAGGGGCTATGCCATCTTCTCTGTTCAGCGGTAGGAACTCACCCAAAGCTCTCCAGGACCTGTTCCTGAGCCCTACCAGGATTGCTTGTGGTAGAGAGAAAAAGTAGGCTTTTGAGTTTCGTGGTCTGCAGCAGACAGCCTCGGTTTTGGCAACACCATAGCTGCAAACATATTCCCCTTAGCCTTGTTTTAAGGCAGTTCAGTTTTGGAAAGACTTTGATCCCCCCCGCCCCCCCCCGCCCCCCCAGAGGGACTAATAAGGCTTGTCTCTAAGTAAACATTCAAGTACCAAGTGTATTAAAGACTTGGTTCTGCTTTTTTAGATAAAGTATTACTATAACCTTTAGATATCTTTCTTTTAAAGGTCACTTACTTGATTTTTAGTTGGGCAAAGTAACTTTTGGGGGCATAAATTATATTAAACAAAAAATTAAAAGTATTTTTATTGTAGGTTTGGAACTGGACACAAGTGACTTCTTCTATCCCCTCAGACCCTGAGATCAGCTAAGGGAGACCCCGTGGAAGTGGCAGTGGTTCCAGTATACCCAAAGGGGAGGGAAGGAGGTCTGGGGAGGGCATTGGGAGAGGATCTTCTCCTGAGAGAAGCCACAGTGAAACTTAGAAGTGAAGCAAGCCTGGAGCTCTTGTGGAGGCTTCTCCTCCACCCCTGCTCTTCTCCAAAAAGGGTCCAAGAATCCCTGAGGACCAGTTTCATGGACACAGTCACATCTTAGAGTCTCAAGCACCTTTCTTAGATGTAGTGTCCAGGCGTGGACATTAGGCCACATGGTTTGTGAGGCCATTTTCTTAGCTCAACAGCAGATGCCTCGGCTTAGTGGGGGAGGTGGCATCTGGCATCAACCAATGAGGCAAGATCTATTTGCCAGGAGCTCAGGTTTGCGGGGCCAGGAGATGCAGCTGTTCTAATTCTCCATTTGTGGGCTCCCAGAGTCCGACAAGCCTAAGAAGGGACAGCAGAGCCCTGGCCAGTGTGGCTCAGTTGATTGAGCATCGTTCTGTGCACCAAAAAGTCACCAGTTCGATTCCCGTTGAGGGCACCCAAAAATAAATAAAAAAAATATTTTTTTAAAAAGAAAGGACAGCAGATATCATGGGAAGTTAATAACTTTTTCAAAATATCCACCATTCCCAAGCTGGTGTGGCTCAGTGGTTGAGCACCGACCTATGAACCAGGAGGTCACAGTTCGATTCCTGGTCAGGGCATATGCCTGGGTTGCAGGCTCCATCCCCAGTGTGGGGCCTGCAGGACGCAGCCATTCAATAATTCTCTCTCATCACTGACGTTTCCCTCTCTGTAATCAATAAAATATATTTAAAACAAAGACAAAATGCCCACCATTCCCAAGTACACAGGAAACTTGAGTGCTCCAGTGTTACACCCTGAGACCTCCAAGAGCAGTCCAGAGTGGACTCCAGGGGCGCCTACCTCCTCTTCTCATTGACCTTCGCAGCAAGTCTCAAGCAGGCGATGGTGACAATGTGGAGTAAGCTCTCCCTTATCTGCAGTGTGGAACAAACCAGTGAGTAGAAGATGAATGTCAGAAACAAACTGTGAAGCACTTGTGATTTTTTTTTAAAGAAATTAAGCCCCCACCCCGCCCCCACCCCCCTTTTTAAAAGACTGACTGTATTCCTCCATAAACAAGTTAGTGGCAGCTTTAGGTTTGACCAGTGGAACTGCTCCTGGTATCAGTAAGGGCAGATGCCCAGTCAGTCCTCCTTTCCTCGTTAGGGGACTGACTGGAAGGGGGAATGGACACCTTCTCAGGGAACCCGAAGTTCCATCCTGGCTTGGGCCAAGCTGGACAGGTCCAGACCTTATCGCACAGCAGGTCCCTTCTCAGCGAGGTCCTCCCAACTCCAAGCCACCCCTGACGACCATACAGCACTAAGCCACAGGCACAGGCGGGTGCGGAGAGGGTCCGCTGCCAGGCCTCCCTCTCCCAGCCAGGTACTTAGAGTCGAGCATGGGGAGGTCCGCTCCCTCTCCCACACCCCTCACCATCCCTCCCAGGGCTCCCTACCGTCGCTGAAGCCAGGAGGCGGCGGCAGGTGGTGAGCGCCAGGTTGGAAGTGGTGTGGGAGAGGGGGAAGAAGTCCCGCAGCCTCCCGAGCTGCAGCACGACTTCCTGCAAAGCGCCGCGGAGCTCCACCTGCTCAAAGGGGGAGTGGGGATGGCAGGAAAGGTGGGTGGCGGCTGGGCCCGTCCACCCGTGGCAGGAGCCGCCTGCTTAAGGTGAGCAGCCCCTTCGCCTTCATGGGATAAGGACACATATGTAATAACTTAATCAATAAAGAAAAAAAGGGGGAAAAATCGCGGAGGGGGAAGCGCCTCCCTGCGGCCCAGCGGCTCAGCGTTGCGGCCCCTCCCCACGCCCGCTTCCCGGCCGGGGCAGAGCTCCCCACCCCACAGGCCCTTCAAGCACCTACTCTACTCGCAGGGCAACCCCGAGTGAGAGAACCAGTGAGTTCCGCCTCGTGCCTCGTGCGGGGACCACCGGGGGCTCTGCCCGGCCTCCCGGGCGCGGCTCACCTGAGCGCGGGTGCAGGTGGGGCCCGGCCGCGTCCCGAGCGCGCGGGAAGCGGGGGATGCGGGTGCTCCCGGGAGGGCCCCGTCGCGGGGACCGGTACCTGGGGGTGGCCGCCCCGCCACAGGCGCGCCTCGCGGCCCAGGGCCAGGTGGAGGTGGGCGACCAGCCGGCGCTCGCTCGGGGCCGTGGGGACGGCGGCGGGGCCTGCAGCTCGCGGGGTCCGCGCAGCCCGCTCCCCGGGCCTCTCCCTGGACGGCGCGGGGAACCTTCTCCGAGGCGGCGGGGGACGGAGCCTAGCGGCCAATGCGATCGGACGCTCGTCCGGCGTCTCCTCCGAGGGCGGGGATCGTGCGCCCGAAGCCATCGCGAGCGCGAGTCCTCTGTCTGGAGCGGCTGCCTCGGCCTTTTATCACCCAGCGCCTTGGCCGCCCGGGGCAGGCGGGCTCGGCGGGCCCAACGCAGCCTCACCTGCGCGCGGGTGCGGAGCCCCCCCCCCCTTTGGACGGGGTCCCTCGGGGAGGGGGACCCACCCCGGGCCCCCCCCGACCGGGGGCCCAAGTGGGCGAGAGGCCCTCTCTGAACCGGCTCCCCACCGCCGCGCCCGCGCGGGCGCGCCTCTGCCCGCCCGAAGCCCCCGCCCCACGCTGAGTCTCCAGCCGGGACGGGGCAGCTGGTGACCCCGCGGGCCCGGGAGAAGGACGCCGGCCACATACCTGCTTCTTTCCTTAGGTTTGAGAGGAGTCCTGACTCCTAGTGTGACCTCGTGCCAGCGACTTGACCTCCCAGAGCCTCGACCACCTCTCTCTCTCTCTCTCTCTCTCTCTCTCTCTCTCTCTCTCCCCATACACACACACACACACACACACACACACACACACACACACACACACACACAAAGCGATGATCTCCCTTACAAAATCGTTCATTCATGCATCCCATTTTCCCGTTGAGCAATGTTTATTTAACACCTACAGTATCTTAGGCGCTGGGCCATAACAATGAATAAAATAGACATGCCCGTAGATTGTAGTCCAGAAATACAGAGAATACATGGAAGCCGCACAATCTCACTCCCAAGTATATGCCCAACAGAGATGCATATGTGTGCACAAAAGACACCCACTAATGTTCAGAGCAGCACTATTTGTAATAGCCCCAAACTGATACAACCCAAATGTTCATCAATATTGAATCAGATAAATTGTGGCCTATTCACACAATGGTATATCCATAAAATGAAATATTATTCAGCCATAAAAAATAATGACTGAGCCCTAACCAGTTTGGCTTAGTGGATAGAGCATCGGCCTGCGGACTGAAGGGTCCCGGGTTCGATTCTGGTCAAGGGCATGTACCTTGGTTGCAGGCACATTCCCAGTAGGGGGCGTGCAGGAGGCAGCTGATCGATGTTTCTCTCTCATTGATGTTTCTAACTCTCTATCCCTCTCCCTTCCTCTCTGTAAAAAATCAATAAAATACATTTAAAAAAGTAATGACTGATATATGCTACAATAGGGACGGAGCTTGAAAACATTCTAAGTGGTAGAAGCCATTCATAAAAGGCCACAAACTCTATAATATCACTTATATGAAATGTCCAGAATAGGCAAATTTATAGACAGAAAGTAGATTGGTATTTGCCTAGGGCTGGGATGTTGGTGAGGGGGGCAGGGCAAGTGAGGGTGACTGCTATGAGTATAGAGTTTCTTTTTAGGGTGATGGAAATGTTTAAAATTGTGGTTATGGTTGCACAACTCTCTATATAGCATAAACTATGGAGTTGTACAATTTAAATAGATGAATTATGTGATATGTGATGATATTCTCAATAAAGATGGATATATATATATATATATATAGTGTGTCAGATGATGTAAGTACTATGGAAAGAGCCGGAAGGGGAGATAAGACTGGAGTTGAACGCTGTAACCGGTTTGGCTCAGTGGATAGAGCGTCGGCCTGCAGACTGGAGGGTCCCAGGTTCGATTCCGGTCACAGGGCATGTACTTTGGTTGCAGGCACATCCCCAGTGGGAGGTGTGCAGGAGGCGGCTGATCGATGTTTCTCTCTCATCGACGTTTCTAACTCTCTATCTCTATCCCTTCCTCTCTGTAAAAAATCAATAAAATATATATTTTTAAAAAAAGACTGGAGTTGAAGGTTGGAATTTTAAAATAGATGGTAGTAGGGCTCACTGAGGTGATGTGTGAGCAGATATTCTGAAGGAGGTGACGGGGTCAGGCAGATATCTAGGGGGAGAGCTTTTCAGGGCCTCAGTTTGGATCTGAGCTTTGTCACTGCCCATATGTATAACCTTGGACAAATTACTTACTTGGCGCCATGCCTCAGTTTCTTTATCTGTAAAATAGTTATTCCCATTTTCTTTTAAAAAAACCAGTATACCTAGTTCAAAAGGTTATTATGTGAATTAAATTAATTTTTAAAAAGAAAGTAAAGTACTTAGAACAGTACACTGGCACGAAATAAAATGCTTTATAGCTATTTTTATTAGTTCCTGCTGCAAGTGCAAAAGCCCTTGTATTCTAAGGTAGGAGCATGCCTGTGATGACATGAATCAAGGAGGCCTGGTGGGACTGGTGCAGACACTGAGCAAGGGGAAGATTGTAGGACATGGGAAGAAGGTTTGTAACATTTACACTGTGAGATGGAAAGTCGTTGACAGGTTTTGAACAGAGAAAAGACACTATCTGATTCATGTTTTAACATTACCACTCTGGCTCCTGTGTTGAAAACAGACTAAGAGGGGATAAGAATGCATGCAAGGAAAGCAGTTTCTGAGCTGTTGTAGTAATATAGATGAGCAATGGTGCTAGTGGTGAAAAAATGGTCAGATTCTGGTTCTATCTTTGAAGATACAGACAACAAGCTCTGGATATTGGGCATGAGAGAAAGAGACTGGTTTTGACCCAAACAATTGTCAGAATTCTGGTTACATTTGTGACGAGGTAAGTTCTCTGACGTTTGGTGGGGGGCAGGCAGGAGTGGTAGGGATGGATACTGGGGGAGGGATGGAAATCAACCTTTCAATTTTGGACACAATAAATTTGAAATGCCTATTCCATATCCAAGGGGAGTGGTGTTCAGGGGAGAGGTTCAAATAAGGAAGATGATAGATGGATCATTAGTTCGTTAATAAAAATATATTGAAAACCTACCCTGTGCTAGGTCCTATTCTAGGTCCCACTCTAAGTTTTGGAGATACTAGTGAGAATGTCGACAAAACACCGCACGACCTCACCTTCTAATGGTGAGAGATCATAAACAAGTCATCAATCAAGCGCAGTAATGTATCTAAAGTCTTTAGCTCTTCAGATGGGGGCACAATGTACAATTGCTATTGGGGTTTTTCTTTTCGTGTTTTTAAAAAAAATCCTCACTAGAGGATATTCCTCCCATTGATAGAGAGAGAGAGAGAGAGAGAGAGAGAGAGAGAGAGAGAGAGAGAGAAAGAGAGAGAGAGAGAGGAACAGGGAGCCGGGAATTGCAACCGAGGTACGTGCCCTTCACCGGGAATTGAACCCACGACCCTTCGGTCTGCAGGCCGACGCTCCAAATACTGAGCCAAACCGGCCAGGGCTGCTGGTGTTTTTTTAAATATTGGAGTATTGCAAGAGCCAGAAGATGGGGCTTGTGTTAGAAACGACTCCTTTTCCCAACTAGTGACAGCCAGTCGTCCCCGCCCCCAAATGAGCCAGAATTGTAGCGCTGCGGAATGGCCGCATTGCGCAGGCGCAGTCTGTCTGGCGTCCTAGGAGACGGACTGGAAAGCCTCTGCGCAGGCGTAATTCAAGCGGCGGAGGAAGCCCGAGGCCCGGGAATGGGGCGGGGCGAGCCCGGGGTGCGCCTGCGCACAGCGCACTCTCGCCCAGGAGCCGCAGTCTCGGGAGCGCCAAGGCGGTTTTTCAGTCATCTTGGGCCAGCCGGTCCCGCGAACCCGGCGTCGTTGGACTGCACCCTGGGCGCGGACGTCCACGGGGCACGGGAGAGAGCCACAATGCCGGTGAGGAGAATGGCTCAGCCGCTGTGGTTCTTCATCTCCGCGGCCTGGCCCGGGGGCGCGGCCGTTGCCATGGAGGCGCGGAGCAGGCTGGCGGGCGGCCGGGGTGGGGCGGGGCAGGCCCGGCCCAGCCCCGGGTCCCGGGTCCCGGGTCCCGGGCGGTTGGGGAGCCTGGTGGGTGGGCCTGGGCTGCGCGGGCCTCCACCTGCCCTTGGGAGGGACCGGGGCAAGCTCTGCTATCTTTGTTGCTGCTGCATCCTGTGGGGCCTGCGCTGCTGGAATGGAGGCGCTGTGCCAGAGGATGCGCTCTGGCTTCCAGCTCTGCCCGCTGGGTTGGGCATCTGGGAGCGGCCACAGAGAGTCGGTTTTGGATGCTCGCTCCCCATAGGATCTCCACAGCGGAGCCAGGCTCCGGAAGGCAGCAGAGCGAGGGCTGCCTGCCCCTACGCCAGGCCCCTGACTCGAGCTGTCATTTCTCTTGGGGCGCCTTGGCTTACAGTGCAAGAATGTAACCCCTAGGTGTCTTTGTGTGTGAGTGTGTGGGGGGTGGTACGCTTGTCTTGTGCACTTAGGAAAGGGGTGACCGTAGTCCAGTATAGGATCAGGAGAACACCTGAGCCATGGCCGGTTATTTGATGGTTACGAGGCCTTGGACAATTTAATCTTTCTGAGCCCATAGTTCCCACATAATTTTACTTTTCCTCATGGGGTTGTTATCAGGATGAAATAAGATACTGCTCAGGAGAAATAAAGGACAGTGCTTGCCACTTAGCATTAAATACTCAATATTTGTTCCTTGTTGCTTTCAAATTGTTTATCAATTCATTGAATAAATATTGGGCACCAACCACATGGTAGGCAGCAGAGATACAATATTGAGCAAAACCAGCCTGGTTCTTGACCTTGGGAAGAGAGAAGCTTGTCTTCTTGGGCGGAGGTCAAAACCATACATGTTTATAGAGACAAGCCACTTAACATTAATGAAGTCAGTTGGTGGCATACAATAGATAGAAGTAGGTTCTGATTAAGTGTTGCCATGTAGGAATGCTGGCTTACAGAGGTCAGATCATCTATTTTTTTCCACAAGAGAATCTTTAATTGTTATTTTGTGAAATTTTTCAATTTTTAACTTTTAGCAACGAAATAAAAATTAATATATGTTTTTATTGGTTTCCGAAAGGAAAGGAGAGGGAGAGATAGAAATATCAATGATGAGAGAGAATCATTGATCGGCTGCCTCCTGCACACTCCACAATGGACCTGGCATGGATCGGACATTGAACCGTGACCTCCTGGTTCATAGGTTGACTCTCAACCACTGAGCCACACTGGCCGGGCTGAGAGATTTTTAAATACTATGAGCCAAACAAAAGACATCTGTGGGTTGAATTCAGCCCCTTGACTACCTGTTTGCAACCTCTGGTGTAGGCAGAGAAAAACAGACACTAATTAAATAATGAGCAATCAAAAGTGTAATTGTAACCAGATGTAAAAGTGAGAAGTGCTCTCAGGGCCTACACAGGCATGCCTTGTGTTATTGCTCTTTATTGCGCTTCACAGATGTTTTGTGTTTTTACAAATTGAAGGCAAGACCTTCCACCAGCAAAAAGATTATGACTCCTATTGCATTACTCTCTTTATTACATTACTCCATTTATTATTGTGGTTTGGAATTGAACCTGCAGTATCTCTGAGGTATGCCTGTACAAGGATTTGACCTACTCAGAAGTCTGCCCAGGTGAAGTGAATTTTGAGCTGAGACCTGCAGTATAAATGAAGAGCAGAGTGAGGAATGTTCTAGGGCAGAAGGAACTACACGTAAAAAGGTCTGTGGTGAGAGGGACCATGGTGACAATAAAAGGCCTAAAAGAAAGCCACTGTGGCTGTGGCTAAGAAAGCCAAGCACGGTAACTTGTGAAAGAAGATAGGAGAAGTAGACATGGGCCAGAGCCAGATCTTACCTTAAGGATTTTTATTTTTATCCTAAGATTTGTGGGAAACCATTGAAGAGTTTTAAGTAGATTGTTTCTCTAGTGCATCGAAGAGTATCAAATAGTAGTCATACTAAAACATTTTTCTCTGCTGCCATTTTCCCCCTTTTGTCTTTCATTTATTGTTGTCTTCTATAAAGAAAATAGACTATATATGGATGTATTATATGATAAAAAATTTACTAATTCATTATAAAAAAATAAAAGTCTCAGGAGAACAGAGGACCTGCTACCTACTATGTTCTTGATGATTAAAGTTGTTAATTTTGTTCACATGTGTTTCCTACAGGTAGGAAACTCAGGAAGTCCGGAACTTTTGTGCAGAATGACAATAATATACTGATTCATTTCTGCTTGAGTAGCATTTACTATAAATGTAAATTATATTTTCCCTCCCCTCATTTGTATTGTAAAAGAAACTTTTCTTTTTCACATTTTTAAGTACACTTTTTCTATTAGCTGTAAGATCTTGAATTGCATTTAACAGATATTTATGGAGTACTTACATGTGCAAGGCACTGAGATGGCAAAGTCACCTTTTTCACATTTTAAACTTAATCTGTTGAAGGTAAATGTAAACGTTCTTTTCATGATCTGTAAATATTTTCTCCACCAGATCAATAAGTCAGAGAAGCCAGAAAGCTGTGATAATGTGAAGGTGGTTGTGAGGTGCCGACCCCTCAATGAGAGAGAGAAGTCCATGTGCTACAGACAGGCTGTCAGTGTGGATGAGATGAGGGGAACTATCACTGTACATAAGACCGATTCTTCCAATGAACCTCCAAAGACATTTACTTTTGATACAGTTTTTGGACCAGAGAGTAAACAACTTGATGTTTATAACTTAACTGCAAGGCCTATTATTGATTCTGTTCTTGAAGGCTACAATGGTGAGTACTTTATATAGTTCACTTTTTTAAAAAACAACTTTATTTTGGTATTATTACTAACCCATAAATTCACTTATTGCAATTATAGTTTGATGAGTTGTAGTGAACACATACAGTTGTGAAACTAGCACACAATTCAATTTATCACCCCCAAAAGTTCCTTTATGTCCATTTATAGTCCCACCCCCAGGTAGCAATTGACTTGCTTTCTATTTATGGTTTCACCTTTACTCAGAATGTCATATAAATCAAACCCTACACTATCATCTTTCTTATCTGTTTTCTTTTATTTGGCATACTTTTTTTGAGGGTCATTCATGTTGTAGCATCTATCAGTAGTTTGGCTCTTTTTTATTGCTGAATATATCACCTTTTATGATCTTTGATGGAAATCTGGACTCCAGTTTTTTGGCTATTATATAAAATGCTGCTATGAGCATTCCTTTTAAGGCTTTGTACAGATTCATTTTAAGGTTTTTCTTGGGTAGATACCTAGGAGTGGAATTGCTGGGTCGTATGGTTAATGTATATTTATTTTATTTTTATGAAGTCTGTATTACAATTAATTGGGAGAGTAGTAACAACTTGTTTGGCCAATTTTTTCCCATTAAAATTTTTTTATTTTTCAATTACAGTTGACATACATTATTATGTTAGCTTCAGGTGTGCACCCCAATGATTAGACATTACATAACTTACTAAGTGATCACCCTCATAAATTTAGTACCCATTGACACCATACATAGTTATTAGAATATTATTGACTATATTCCCTATGCTGTATTTTACATACCCGTGACTATTCTGTAACAACCAATTTGTACTTCTTAATCCCTTTTTTCACCTATCCCCTTAACCCCCTGCCCATCTGGCAACTGTCAAAATGTTCTCTGAGAGTCTGTTTAGTTCTCTGTGAGTATCAGTGAGTCTGTTTCAGTTCTGCTTGTTTGTTTGTTCTTCAGATCAGTTAGTGTATCCTTCATTTCTTTTTTTTAAAAATATTTTTATTGATTTCAGAGAAGAAGGGAGAGGGAGAGAGAGATAGAAACATCAATGATGAGAGAGAATCATTGATGGGCTACCTTCTGCACGCCCCACACTGGGGATCGAGCCCACAACCCGGACATGTGCCCTGACGGGATCAAACTGTGACCTCCTGGTTCATAGGTTGACGCTCAACCAAGTGCCATAAAAGCAGAGCCTGAAGAAAGTAGGAATCTACCCACGTGGATAGCTGAGACAAGTACATTCTAAGCAGAGGAACAAACAAGCACAGAGCCCCATGAGCAGAAATGTGCTTGGTGTGTTCCAGGAATGAGAAGAGGCCAGAGGAGTTAGCATCAAGTGAACAAACCCAAGTGTCTTAGACAAGGTCAGAGCGGTAAATGGGCAGAGCAGCTCATGTGGGTATTGTAGGCCGGAGAAAGGACCTTGGCTCTTCCCTGTGAGTGAGATTCTCCTATGTTTTTATCTACAAAGTTGTAAACATTTTAGGTCTTACATTTAGGTCTGTCATCCATTTTGAGTTTTTATATGTGATGTGAAGTAAGAGTTTAGTTCTTTCCCTATTTTTTTCCTTCTTGCCTGTGGATATCCAGTTGTTCCAGCACCATTTGTTTAAAAGGCCATCCTTTCCTTTGGAACTAACTTGGTTCTTTTGGTAAAAATGAGTGGACCACAAATGTGTGGGCTTATGTTGGATTGTCTATTCTATTCCACGTATATCCTGTTTTGATTTCTGCAGCTTTATAATGTTTTGAAATTAGGTAATATGTGATCTCTAACTTTATTCTTTTTCAAAATTGTGTGTTTTTTCTGGTGTCCTTTGCATTTTCATATAAATTTTAAGATCACCTTGTCAATTTCTACCAAAGTAACCTGGGATTTTGTTGAATTGTTATTCTGACAATGTTGGGGTCTTCTGGTCCAGGAACATGATATATTTGTCCATTTATTATGTCTTGTTTAAATTCTTATATCAGTATTTTTATAGTTTTCATAAATTTGTTTTTAATTATTTTTTTGGTACTTTTGTGAATAGAACTGTTCTTATAATTTCATTTTTGGAATTATGCATTGTGAATGTATAGAAATGCACTTGATTATTTTAGTGGGGTTTTTTATTGAGATAACAATTCAAATAACATAAAATTTACTACTTTAACCACTTTACAGTGTACAAGTCAGGTTTTCAGCACATTCATAGTGTTGTGCAACTGTTACCATTATCAGTTTCCAGAACATTTCCATTACCCCCCAAAAGAAACTTTTATCCGTATTAATAGTTACATCTAATTCTGCTCTCTCCTACTCCCACCCTATAATAAAGAAACAGAATTTCTGGAGGATGAGGCCCACAAATCAGGATTTTTTTAAGAAGATTCCCAGGTGATTCTAATGTGCAGCCAAAGTTGAGAACCACTGGTCTAGAGTTAGTATTATATCTTCCCTAAGAATTCACCAGTTAAGTTGACTGGGCCTGGAGTTTTTGTTTGTTTGTTTTGTGGGGTTTTATTTTGGTGAGAAGGCTTTTAACTACAGGTTCATTTTCTTTAATAGATACATTTAATATGATTATAGGGGTAGGTGTAAATCTATCATCTTGCTATTTATTTTTGTCCCATTTGTTCTTTGTTCACCTTTTCCTCTTTTTATGCCTTCTTTTGGATTAATGAATTATGTTTATTATTCCATCAATACATCTTTGTTGTATTTTAGTGTTTGCTTTAACGTTCATAGTATAAATATTTAATATATCACAGTTTATCTTCAAGTGATATGCAAGTTTATGTATAATATGAACATTTTACACTATACTCCCATTTCTGTCCTCCCAGGCTTTGTGCTATTGTCATATATTTTACTTCTACATGTTATAAACTCCAAACCACATTGTTATTACATTTGTTTAAATCATCAGTTACCTTTTAAAGAGATTTAAATAATGAGAGAAAAATCTTACATATTTATTTAAGCCATGTAGTTACCATTTCTGGTACTCTTTTTTGCTTTATGTAGATTCACATTTCCATCTAGTATCACTTTCCTTCTGCATTGTAGAACTTCCTTTAACATTTCTTAGAGGGGAGGTCTACTGGTGATGAATTCTTCTGCATTTATAGTCTAAAAAAGTATTCATTTTGTTTTTGTTTTTCAAAGTATTTTCAGAGTATAGTATAGATTCTTAGTTTCTTCTTTTAATACTTTAACGATATTACTATAGTCTTCTCATTTGTATTTTTTTTATGACCAGAAATCTGCTTTCATTCTTATCTTGGTTCTTCTATATATAATGTCTTTCTTTTCTCTGGTTGTTTTGACATTTTCTTCTTAGAGCAATTGATTATGATGTGTCTTGATATGTTTTTCCTTTTTTTTTTTTGGTATGTTTTTCTTCATGCTTCTGTGCTTACAGTTCATTAAGTTCCTTGGACTTGTGGGATTGTAGTTTTCATCAAATTTGGAGAAATTTAAGGCATTATTTCTTAAAGCATTTTTTCTCTCCCCTCTCTCTACTATTTGGGGGACTACACCAATGTATATATTAGACTACTTGAAATTATCCCACAACTTGTTTTTTTCAAAAATTTTTCTCTTTCTTTATGATGGGTTTTTTGTATGTTTTCTTTTGCAATGTCTGCTCTACCATTAACCCTGTCTATTGTATTTTTCATCTCACACATTGTAGATTTCATCTCTCGAGGTTTGATTTTGATCTTGTTATGTCTTCCATCCAAGTTCTTCCAAAGTTTCCACTGAACTTTTTAACATACAGAATACAGTTTTTATAACAGTTTTAATGTCCTTGTCTGCTAATTCTAACATTTGTGTCAGTTCTGAGTTGGTTTTGATTGTTGATTGATTTCTTAATTATGAGTCATATATTTTTGCTTTTTTGCAAGCTTGGCAGTTTTTTTGTTTGATGCTAGACTGTGAATTTTACCTTGGGTCTTAGATACTTTTTCATTTCTATGAATATTTATGAGCTTTGTACTGGGATGCAGTTACTTTAGGATTATGAAGAAAATAACTACCATTTACTTGTACCCTACCAGACGTCATGTTGGTCACTTGAAGTGTTTCATTTGGTCCTTACTATTAATGTAGAGTAGCTAAATTTTTATTCCCATTTTATCTTTGAGGAGACTATGTCTGGATAGAAACTTGCTTAAGGTCAAGTGGATAAAAAGTGGCAGATATGTGATTCACACTGAGGTCTTTCTGATCTAGAACCTGTATTCTTTTGCTGTAATTACACTATCTTTTCCAACTTAATGTCTACATTACGTAATTACTGTACACATTACAAGAAATGTTTTTAAATGTAAGATTTTACATTTATGGTTTGGAGTTCTTTTTATTAATAATTAGAAATATCTCACTGACTCTAGTACTTTAATAGTGCTTTGCTCATGAGGCATAGAGTACACATATTGTAATTGTCAATAAAAGTGAAATTTGTACTAGAATTCAGAGAAGAAATTGCGTCACAGTGTCAAAGGAATTAATTTTAAGAGCTATTGTTCTACAGACTTATACTCTAAAAAAACATTGATTCTCTTTATTTTCAGGGACTATTTTTGCATATGGACAAACTGGAACAGGCAAAACTTTTACTATGGAAGGTGTTCGAGCTGTTCCTGAACTGAGAGGAATCATTCCAAATTCATTTGCTCATATATTTGGTCATATTGCAAAAGCAGAGGGTGATACAAGGTAAAATAATTCTTTTATTTTTCCAATATTAAGAAGTACAAACTTAAGAAAGGCATATAGGTACAAATTTCATAAACACACTTTAAAGCTGTTCTTATAAATATTTCACTGTTTTATGTTTTTAAAGTGATGTTTTATTGATAGGTTTTTGGTTCGAGTGTCTTATTTGGAAATATATAATGAAGAGGTTCGTGACCTCTTGGGCAAGGATCAGACACAGAGGTTAGAGGTAAGGATAATTGAAATTGGAGTACTTTCCAAAGACCAATAATAGCTTCACCTTATCTATGCCTACCTCTATAGCCAGATATCCTACACTCTCGCCACCCTATCCTACTCCCACCCCTGTCCTGCTTCCTACTCTTTCCAGCCTACTTTATTCTTATTTCAGAATCCTTACATTTATTCTTTTCCTCCTACCCCAACCCAGATTGGCTACTTCCTGTTTCTTTAAGTCTTAGCTTAAACATCATCTTAGGGAAACTTATTCTGTCTCTGCTTCACCAGCATAAGTCTCTCTAATGTATTCTTATATTGTCTTATATTTTTTAATTGATGGCATTATCACAATGGAAATAAAATATTTTTTGTGTGTAATTATTTGTATGTTCTCCCTATAGATTTTCACTTCCACAAGTGTAGAGATTGTCTACCTTGTTTATCACTGTATACTCAATATCAAGCAGTGTCTCACAGATGTTTAATAAATAATTGTGTTAAATAACACATTTATTTACACATTATTTATATGTAGTGGATGTTCAATGTTCAATAAATAATACATAGATGTTCAATGAATAGATGTGAAAGAATTATGGATATATGTGTTAAGTCTTATGATTATTTTTCTTAGGTTAAAGAAAGACCTGATGTGGGAGTTTATATCAAAGATTTATCAGCTTATGTGGTAAATAATGCTGATGATATGGACAGAATTATGACACTGGGCCACAAAAATCGTAAGTGTAATTCATAATTTTGATTAAACATTTATGTGTTGAGTAGGCTGGTTTAGAAGCAAAAACTGGTGTGACATTTTGTTCCACAAAGACTGGATTTTTAAGTTTCTTGAAAATCCTTTCTCTTTGATTATTTACTAGGTAGAGAGCACATATGGATGAAAGATATCACAGATTACTTTCTGTGCTGACCAAAATTTTGTTTCTTAGTACTAGTGCTATATTTTATATAGCTGTTTATTTGTTAGCTACAGTAATATTTGGTAACATTTATTGAGCACTTACAATGTAGGAAGTGCTTGTTCTAAGTGATTTATAAGAATGGTCTCTTTTAGCCGAAACCGGTTTGGCTCAGTGGATGGAGCGTCGGCCTGCGGACTGAAGGGTCCCGGGTTCGATTCCGGTCAAGGGCATGTGCCTTGGTTTCGGGCACATCCCCAGTGGGAGATGTGCGGGGGGCAGCTGATCGATGTTTCTCTCTCATCGATGTTTCTGACTCTCTGTCTCTCTCCCTTCCTCTCTGTAAAAAATCAATAAAATATATTTTTAAAAAAAATGGTCTCTTTTATTTTTATTTTTTTTATTTTTTTAAAAATATATTTTTATTGATTTCAGAGAGGAAGGGAGTGGGAGAGAGAGATAGAAACATCAAAGATGAGAGAGAATCATTGATCAGCTACCTCCTGCATGCCCCACACTAGGGATCGGGCCCAACCCTGGCATATGTTTTCACCAGAAATCGAACCGAAGTGGTATTTTTTTATTTTTTTTTTAGTAGTTGTTTCAGGTTTTGTCTAAATAATAAAGAACTTCAGCAATATTTAATACACAGATGCCCCAGGCCTCATACTAGTGATGTTGCTAATAGCAATTAGAGATTAGAGATGAAAGATTAGAACATAGGAAGTAAACATGTTTCAAAGTTTTTTATGACTAGACTAAAAATCAAGGAAATTAAACAAATATTTAAAAAATCAATTGCAGCCCAGCCAGCATGGCTCAGTGGTTGAATGTCAACCTATGAACCAGGAGGTCACGGTTGATTCCCGCTCAGGGCACATGCCTGGATTGCAGGCTCGATCCCCAGTTTGGGGTGTACAGGGGACAGCCGATCAATGATTCTCTCCCATCATTGATGTTTCTGATTTTCTCTCCCTCTCCCTTATTCTCTGAAATCAATAAAAACATATTTAAAAAATCAATTGCATTCTTAAAAACCAAGTCGTAGAAAAAGACCAAATTTTAACAGGAAAATGAGCAAAAGATATGTACAAATATGTTATTCACAGAACTGTGCACAGCAATAAGCATGTGAAAGGATGTTAATATTTGGTAACATTTATTGAGCACTTACTTTGTAGCAACTTCACAAATAATTAGGAAAATGCATATTAAAACAACAGTGGGAGATATTTTACCCATCAGTTTGGATGAAGGGATATATACAGGTTGGTGAGGCTGTACTGGTGATGAGATTATAAAATAGTACGGTTTTTTGAAGAGCAGCATAACAGTAACTGTTGAAATTAAAAAATGCATTTCTTTTGACATAGTGTTTCTAATTCTAGATATATATTTTAGAAAAATATATTTAAGTATAACAAATTTCTATTGAGACATTATTTGTGATAAAAAGTTTGACACAATCTAAATAACTATAAACAAAACATTGGTTATATAAATTATGGTACAAAAATACTGTAGACTATAATGAAGCTCTGAGAAAAATCACAATGAGTTTAATCTCCTTGTAGAGACCTGGAATATTTTCAAGATATATGTATTATTAAGTGAACAGCAAATTTCAGAATAGTATTACTACATCATCCCATTAATAAATTTGTAAAAAAGCCAAGTTATTAAACTATGTGTTTGGATAGTGTGTGTGTATGTGTGTGTGTCTGTATGTTCACATGTGTGCATGTAAAATAGAAATGAAAGGACATTTAATAGGGGTTACTTTTAGGAAAGGGGAAGTAAGATTGGAAAAAAGGGATGTTGGGAGCTTTCATTGCTTTTTAAAAATATACTTTAAAATTTTTTGTCCCAGGAATATGTTCATGTACTGCTTATTTAATTTTTAAAATTTTTAACATAAGATTTTATTTATAGTAGTGACCAAAAGCTCCCATTAAGTACCTGAGAATTAGTTTAATAAAATGAAATAAAGATAAAGGGATTTGAAAACCTAAGATAGCAGAGAGGAAAATACTCTTAATAAATAGAGTCCGAGAATTGAATATTTAGTACAAATATTTAGCACAAAAGTTCCAACATAAAAATATAAACTTTATCATATTGAAATATAGTAAAATAACTATCAAGAGGGAAATAGCAGAAGAGGAATATGGGACAATAAAAGACGCTATTATAAATAGATAAAAGAATCAATACAAATATAAACTTAGTTCCATTTTTTACAGATGGTCATAGTATAGAAATAGTTAATTTTATACTTAAGAAAATAAGTCAGTCATCTCACAAACAGCCTGCCTAGCAACTAAAATGCAAATTTAAATTATTCCAGTATATTTACATGTGGGCATCCTTGTAAATTGGTTAATATTTTTGTAGAGCAGTGTTTTCAGCCTTTACACCAAATTCCTTTTCTTAAAAATTACATTTTTGAATAGGTAATTCATACATATAGTGTAAAATTCAAAAGGCATAGAAGTATCCATTGAAAAACAAGTCTCTCTCCTACCCTTGTGTCTCAGTCACCTGGTTCCCATTCCTGGTGGCAACTTCTGTTAGTTTCTAATGTACCCTTTCTGATGTAGTCTATGTGTTTTTAAAGAGAGCTTGTCCTCTTACTTTATTCACTTAACAATATTATCTTAGAGATCATTTCACATTAACACATACTTATCCTATATAATAAAAGGCTAATATGGAAATTGTCCCCTCAACTGGGAGTTTGACCAGGGGGTGAGGCCAGGCCTGCCAACTGTCCGAGGCCCCTCCCCCGGCCAGCCCAGCCCAATTGGCTCCAATGGGGCAGGCCAGCTGGACCCCACCCGTGCACCAATTCGTGCATTGAGGCTCTAGTACATATATAAGCATTTTAAAAGAATGATGTAGTATTTCATTGCATGAATCTACATAATTTATCTAATCTTTTATTGATGGACTTTTGGGTTGTTTTCAATCTTTTGTTCTGAGCAATACTGCATTAAATATTCTTACATATACATGAGTTTATACACATGCAGGCATATTTATAGGATACATTTTTTCATATCCTCTTGAAAAGCATAAAAACATTTTTTATTCCAAATAAATATTTGATAAAAATTAAAGCTATGGAAATGTTTTTTGTTTTATTTCCATTATGACATGTCCATGTTTGGAGCATTGAGTCTACTTCTCTGCTGCAAGCTCTTCTCTCCCAGGGATTGTAAAGCTCAACATAGGTCACATTTAACAGCATGTCTGTTGCATTTCTTGGTTTTTATAACCAGATATGCAGAAAAATTACAATCAGAAATAGCTTGTTTTACTTACATTGCAAAAACAATAGGTATTAATAAGATTTTTTCAAATGACACGTTCTCTCTTCATCCAAATTGGAAAATACTGCTATAGTGTGATTTGATATCACATAGCTATAAAATGATTTCTACTCTTTGACCTGGTAATTCCAGTTTGGAAAATACATCCCATGGAAATAATACTAAAGAGAGAGAGAGGTATCTGCTTAGAGATGCTCATTTTGTGTTCCTTATGAGGACCTAAAGTGGGAAACCATCCCAAATACTAGTATCTCTCAATAAGGGAACAGCAAAATCAAGGTTTAATAGTTCTCTATATTTTTTGAAGAAATTCATAATTTGATTTAAAAGAAAATAGAAAAATGTAGTATGAAGTCACAAGTCTTTGCTTTTTTTCCCCTAATTTTTTCTTTACCTTCTTTTGACAGGCTTTACTTTTTCTTTTTTTCAATTACAGTTTACTTTCAGTATTATATATTGGTTTCCAGTTGTACAGCGTAGTGGTTAGACAATCATATACTTTACATAGTTCTCCCCTTTGCCCCCCCCCCCCATATTTCCAGTTCCCAACTGGCACATACATAGTTATCACAATATTATTGACTATATTCCCTATGCTGTACATCCCTGTGACTATTTTGTAACTAGCAATTTGTATTTAATTCCTTCACATCTTTCTCCCAGTCTCTCACTCCCCTCCCTCTGGCAGCCACCAGTCTGCTCTCTGTATCTGAGCCAGTTTCAATTTTGTTTGTTCATTTATTTTGTTCTTTAAATTCCACATATAAGTGAAATCATATGATATTTGTCTTTCGCTGACTGACTTATTTAGGCTTTACTTTTCTTTCTTTTTAAAAAAGATACATTTTTATTGATTTCAGAGAGGAAGGGAGAGGGAGAGACAGAGAGAGAGAAACACCAATGATGAGAGAGAACCATTGATCGGCTGCCTCTTGCACGTCCCACACTGGAGATTGAACCCGCAACCCGAGCATGTGTCCTGACTGGGAATCCAACTGTGACATCCTGGTTCATAGGTTGACACTCAACCACTGAGCCACGCAGGCTGGGCTAGGCTTTCGTTTTCTGTATTAGTGCAATTTACATTCCAGTTATCTGACTTCAGTACAGCCATGTTAATAATTAATAATGTTTATATTTTAATGTTTAAATTCTAAAATCAAAGCTTGTGTGGATAAATTCTGCATGAATATATAGTAGGAAGATAATTTTGAAATTGGGTAAAATGCTTTTAAAATACTTAGGAATTTAAGGAAAAAAATAATATGTGTATTATAAAAAACAAAACACCTTTTTCTTTGTTTACAGAATATATTCATGTAAAATATTTATACCCACACAATACTTGGAATGGATGCTTTTGTTTAATAGAAGAGGGATTATACTATATATTCCTCTCTTTTTGTTTCCCAGCCATATGTTATGGGTATCTTTCCATGTTATACCTTTTTTTTTTTTTTTAAATATTTTTATTGATTTCAGAGAGGAAGGGAGAGGGAAAGAGACATAGAAACATCAATAATGAGAGAGAATCATTGATTGGCTGCCTCCTACATGCCCCCTACTAGGGATCAAGTCCACAATGTAGGCATGTGCCCTTGACCAGAATCGAACCTGGGACCCTTTGGTCCGCAGGCCGATTCTCTATCCACCGAGCCAAACCGGCTAGGGCTACCTTATTTTTTTAACTCCATATTATGACTAGTCTGTAATGGATTAACCACTGTCCTGTGGTTGTTTCTAATCTCTTGCTGTTGTGAAATGCTGTGCCGAATATCCTAGCACCATCTAATGCATGTATACAAGTATTTCTGTGATTTAGATTTGCAGAACATAATATTTTTTTAGAGATAGCTGAAACAGCAATATTTTTTGAATTATTTACCATGTATTTTTATGTAAATTAGTTATTTTTGTAGCCAGTAATACTTCGGGTTAAAATTAATTACTTTGTCCTAAAATTACCTCTTTAGTATAAGAAATACTACAAATTATTTTGTTATCAACATAAATTGTCAGAAACTGCTAATAATGGCTAAACACATCTATGCTTTTATGGTTTAGCCAGGCTGTTTGATTTTTGGCTCTGGTAAAATTAAGTATTATAAACCATTCTGGATAGTTAATTTTTAAAGGTACTCCCTGTTATTATACCTTTTAAGAATTTCCATCCTTTATTCAAGGTTCTGTTGGTGCAACTAATATGAATGAGCATAGTTCCCGTTCCCATGCCATCTTTACAATTACCATAGAATGCAGTGAAAAAGGCGTTGATGGTAACATGCACGTCAGGATGGGGAAGCTCCATCTTGTAGATCTTGCTGTAAGTAATAGGCTACTACTTTAAAGAATAACTCTTGTAATTTTTTTAGTTTATAAATGAATAAAAATTCAAGTGAAAAGGTGTGATTTATATATGATTTTTAAGTTGTTAACCTGTGTATGTGTTTTGTTTACTATGGAATATTTCGAACCTGTACAAAAGTAGATAGAATAGTGTAATGATCTTCCATGTAACCATCACCCACTTCAACAATTACTGGTTCATGGCCAGTCCTGTTTCATCTCTACCATTCCCCACTTCTCTTCCGGTATCATTCTGATGTGAATTCAAGATACAATATCAGATTCCTTTCCTGTTAAATTACTTTTTATTAATCTTTAAAAACAATATTCTGTATTTTTTATTTTAGCTTTATTTCTGTGTCTTTATTGCTAGGGTTCAGAAAGACAGGCAAAAACTGGAGCTACTGGACAGCGCCTCAAGGAAGCTACAAAAATCAATCTTTCACTTTCCACCCTTGGTAATGTAATTTCTGCCTTGGTTGATGGAAAAAGCACTCATGTGCCTTACCGTAATTCTAAATTGACTCGTCTTCTTCAGGATTCCTTAGGAGGAAATTCAAAGACCATGATGGTAAGACTTAATTGATGATATTATAGTTATCATCAGGCAACTTTTAGGTTCCTGTTTATCCCTATAATAGATAGGCATAACATTTTTTAAACTATTGATTTTTTTACTTTATTTGATTTTGTGGTTATTCTTTTTCTAGTATACCATGTATACAAGCCCATACTGTGTTACTTGGAAATACATGTGGTTATACTTACTCTCTCTTTCTTTTTTTAAATATATCTTATTGATTTCAGAGAAGAAGGGAGAGGGAAAGAGAGATAGAAACATCAGTGATGAGAGAGAATCATTGAGTGGCTGCCTACTGCACATCCCCTACTGGGGATCAAGCCTGCAACCCAGGCATGTGCCCTGACAGGAATCGAATCTGGGACCCTTCAGTCCACAGGCTGACGTTCTATCCACTGACCCAAACCAGCTAGGGTCTTATTCTCTTTTTCAAGAAGATGAGAGTAGAAGTATGCTTTAGAAATTATTTTAGTTATCTTCGTAATGGTATTAATTTTAACTGTATCAGGTGTTACAATGTCTTGTTTTGTATTCCTAATTCAACAGTGTGCAAATATTGGGCCAGCAGATTACAATTATGATGAAACTATTAGTACATTACGGTACGCTAACCGTGCTAAGAATATTAAAAATAAAGCTAGAATTAATGAAGATCCAAAGGATGCTTTACTTCGTCAATTTCAGAAAGAAATAGAAGAACTGAAAAAAAAGCTTGAGGAAGGTAACTTTTCCCCAAAATGTTGATTTTAATGTTGGCTAAAAATATGTTGCTTCACCACTAAGTGTACTAATAAAAACCACCTATTAAAAATTCTTTGCACCTCTAACATTGATATTTAAAGGAATATTTCTGCTTGCTCACTTGATATTAAGTAAGCTCAAGTAAATGTATATAATGTTTGTATATGTGATTTAAAAACTTTACTTAATTTAAACCTCTATCTTAATCCCAATGACCTTTTGTAGATTTGATATGACCACTTATTAAATAATTAATTTTTATTTGTCTCTGTATAAGAGCAAATTCTACCATTTATTTATTTATTTATTTATTTATTTATTTATTTATTTTTGTTCAGTAGTCAAGAGTCTTTATTAGACAGGAGGTGGGACTTCCATCTCAGAGGAATCTCAGCTCAGACGACACAGGAGGAACCGGGATGGGATGGGACGGGAGCAAGGGCGAAGCCAAGTGTTATCCCAGGGGCTCCGGGTGCAGTGGGCTGTGCGGGCTGGAGGCTGGGGTCTCCCCACTTCCATCCCCCTCAAAGGGAGGAGGCAGTCAACTTAGTAGAATTTAGCCTCATCTTTCAGTCAATCCAGGAAGGCTTCTTAGAGGAAACCCAGGCCAACTGGTGAAGCAGGTTCTCCTTTTTGGTACAGGCAAGTAGGTGCCTGATTAAGGCCAGTTCCTTCCTTCCTGGGGTGTGGGGAGCTGTGCCCGGGAAAGGGTACAATGAGGGGCTGCCAGAAACCGGGAGTCCGATGCACAGCTGTGGGGGTCAGTCCTTTCCTGCCCCATCTGGGGCCGGGAGCCAGCAGCTTGGAGGCCCCCACAGTTCACTTCTCCAAGGGCTTTAAAACCTTTCAAATCAGTCAGGTCAAGCCAAGGGTCAGAGAACTGGTGCGTCAGCAGTACAAGATCTTGGGTAGACATTGGGAAGGACTTCCCAAGATAGAAATAAGCAAGATCATAGAATTTCATCGAGCCCAAGGTGCCCATCCATGCTCTCAGGCGCTGTCCTTTCGGGCCCTTCCCGCCCATAGAGCGCCTCGGCCCTGGGTCCTGGGTGCCAGGGCTCAGCAGGCGCCTGGGCAGGGTCACCCACCCAGCCTCAGCGGAGTGGAGGTGAGGTGGGAAGAGCGCGCCTCACCTCCCCAGTGACCGCCTCAGCCTCTGCCGCGGCTCTCTATACCATATATTTAGATGACTATGACCAGAGTTCCTTGTGATAGATATCAGTCACTGTTGTTTGAAGTACAGAAAGCTATCACCAAGTTTACTATAAGTAAAATTCACTGCATAGTCTTCAAATAGCTTTCATACTTAAATTTGAACATGAGGTTCTCTTTTGTAAATTCTTTCCTAATAAGATAATATTAGAAGGTTAGCTAGTTTGAAGACCTTATTCATGCGGTTGAGAAATTTACCATCACTAAGTGCCCAGTGACTTCCTGTACCTTCATGCTAAGCACCGATTGGCATAGGGCTCCTTTGCATACCAGGTACACCAGAGGGCTTTGAAACTGCCTCTTTTCAGTCTGTGGGAAAACTGGTTAGATCAGATGTGAAATCAAGAGATGCCAACATCACAAATGTTTGGAGAAGGTGCTGATTCAGTACACTTGAGTAAGATTATTGAGGAAAAGCAGTTGTAATTGACCTGCCTCTTAGATAATGAAATTTGGTGTTTTAAGTGTGACCACTAGGTGGTATTTATAGTCAGTATATTTTAAAATTTTTAAATTTCTTAGATTTGTTAATGTTGAGTATACCTTTATTTTGCTGACTTATCTTTTTTACATTTATTTATTGTGGTAAAATAGACATAACATAAAATTTACCATTTTAACTATTTTTAAGTATATTAAATAAGTTCACATTGTTCTGCAACCATTACCATCATCCATCTCTAACTTTATAGTCATCCCAAAATGAAACTCTGTACCCAATAAACACTAACTCCCCATCACCCTTTCTCCCTCAGCACCTGGTAGCCACTATTTTACTTTCTATCTCTGAATTGACTATTCTAGGTACCTCATATAAGTAAAATCATACAATATGTGTCCTTTTGTGTCTGGCTTATTTTATTTAGCATGATATCCTCAAGGTTCATCCATATTGTAGCATGTGTCAGAATTTCCTTTTTAAGGCTGAATAATATTCTGTTGTATGTATATACCACATTTAAAAAAAAATGTTTTGATTTTTTTTAAAGGGAGAGGGAGAAGCATTGATGTGAGAGAAACATTGATCAGTTGCCTTCTGTATGCACCCCAACCTGGGATCAAACCTGAAACCTGGGCATGTGCCCTGACTGGGAATCAAACTGGAGACCTTTTGGTGCATGGAAATATGCTCAACCATCTGAGCTTCACCGGCTAGGGCTATTCCACATTTTGTTTATTCATTTATCTGTCGATGGGCACTGGGTGGCTTCTGACTTTTGACTGTTGTGGATAATGCTGTTATGAATGTGGGTATACAAATACCTGTTCAAGTCCTGATTTCAATTTTTTTGGGCATATACCCAGAATTGGAATTGCTGGATCATATGGAAATGCTAATTTTATTTTTAACACATTTCATTTTATTTATGCTCCTACGACATTTGTTTTTGTAGGACAGTTGACAGAGTTTTATAATCTGGTTAATAGAATTGATCATAAGAACAATAAAAAGTAGGCAAAAATATTTAAAAATTACTTTTTTAACTTTTTATTTTGAAATAATTTTAGACTCATAGATGCTGGGGTCCAATCCCAGCGGGTCCAGGGGTCCCCAAAGGTGTGGACGGAGTCGGCGAAGAAGGAATGACACGAAGACAGCCTTCAGTTGATCAGCAGCCTAGTCAGGACCTCTAGCCAGGATCTCCAGCCAAAGTTCTGGTCGGAGTTCTGGTTAGGAACTGATGAGGATCTGATGAGGATCTGATCTTTATTGTCTTGTTACATCCGTATTTATACCAGCGGATTTTAATCCTGTCAATTTCTATTACAAAGGTTAGGGCGTTTCTTATCTCCATTCCAGGGAGTAAAGATTATGTAGCTTAACTACCCGCCTGGCACTTAATTAAGGGGTTGTATCCCCTCCCTAACCTCATGGAAAAATCCCCACCTGGGGAAACAACCTTTCTCGGAGAGGTGACCTTGGTTAAAACACATGGCGCTAAAGGGAGCAAACATATTAAGAACAGTATGCTATATACGCCAGGTCCATTGAAACATATGCTGTGCAGATGTTTCTTTCCTGCAGCGACTGTGTCAAGCAGCAAGGATGGACCGGCTTCCGGCACATAGAAAACTTGCAAATATAGTGAGAGTTCCTATATACCCATCACCCACCTTCCCCTGTTGTTAATATCCTATATAATAAAAGCCTAATATGCTAAGTGTCCAACTGCTCATTCGACCAGTCGCTATGACATGCACTGACCACCAGGGGGCAGGTGCTCCAACCAGTAGGTTAGCTTGCCTCACACGTCCTAGAGCCCTTCCTTGGTTCCTCCCCAGCGGGCCAATCTCCCAGTCCCTCCCCGTCCTCTAAAATATTTCTTCTAATTAATTTCAATGTGCATGAATCCATCCACCTGGCCTCTAGTCTTACATAATCATAGAACAGTTAATGAAACAAGGTAATTTACATTGATACAAACTTAACTAATCTAAAGATCTTAAAAAAATTTTTAGGCCCTACCAGTAAAACAGTTTTATTTCATTTTAAAATAGTCATTTATGTGAAGATCTTATTTAAATTTTGACAGTTTTCCCTCTCATGCCCTTTTTCTCTAGTCCAGTATCTAATCTAGGATCACACTGTGCATTTAGTTGTCTTTTTAATTTCATTCAGTCTCCAGTTCCTCGGTCTCTCTCTTTTTTTTTTTTTTTTAATATATTTTATTGATTTTTTACAGAGAGGAAGGGAGAGAGATAGAGAGTTAGAAACATCGATGAGAGAGAAACATCGACCAGCTGCCTCCTGCACATCTCCTACTGGGGATGTGCCCGCAACCCAGGTACATGCCCTTGACCGGAATCGAACCTGGGACCTTTCAGTCCGCAGGCCGCGCTCTATCCACTGAGCCAAACCGGTTTTGGCAGCCTCGGTCTCTTTTTGTCTTTCATGCTCTTAACACTTTAGAAAAGTACTGGTTATATATTTGTAAAATGTTCCTCAATTTGGGTTTGTCAGTAGTTCTCTGATAATTATTCTGCAGGATTTCTATACTATAAATCTACTACTTACTTTATTTTCTCCTTTATAACTAATATGCATCTGTGGGGAGCTACTTTGAGACTATACGAAGCTCCTGATTCTTAAACTTTCTCCCACTGATTTTAGCATCCATCAAGGGTTCTTGCCTGAAACAGTAACTCTGTGGCATTTGGTCATTGGTGACTCTCTTTCCATCATTTCTTCTGATGTTTAGTGTTTGGAATTCTGTTGTATGGAAGAGCACTCCCTTCTCCTTCACTATTTATTCAGTTATTTATATGCTAGTGGCCCTGTGCACGAATCCGTGCAAGAGTAGCTCGCTGCTGCTTGCCTCAGCTGGCTGCCCTGCCCACCACTGCCCTCTGCCTGCTGCCTCGCCCTCCTGTAGCTCTCCACTGCTCTTAGCTCACTGCCCCACCCTCCTGCTGATTGGTCGTTACGCGTCATGGCGTAATGACCATTTGCATATTACCTCTATTATATAGGATGTCAGTATGGATATTTGTGGTTTATGATACAGTAATAATATATATTTTATTGCTCAAATTGTTCCAGCTTTGGCCATTAGGAACTCCTACAGAGTTGTTCCTATATCCTTCCAGTATGTTCCCATTAGTTTTTTTGTTTACTTAGCACTTCCTTATTTTCTGACACCACAGGTGTTTTGGGCTCATTTTGTATTTTCTCTATCCCAGTCTAAAAATCAGCTATTTCTCCCTGGTTCCTTTTATTGGAGAATGGTATTTAGAAACCAAAATTTCAGCATTAGGTGTGTTCATTGCTACTGAGGTGTCATTGTTTCTGGGCCTAAAGAACAAAACATTTTTATAAAAAATATATATTTTATTGATTTTTTACAGAGAGGTAGGGAGAGGGATAGAGAGTTAGAAACATCAATGAGAGAGAAGCATCGATCAGCTGCCTCCTGCACATCCCCTACTGGGGTTGTGCCTGCAACCAAGGTACAAGCCCTTGACCGGAATCGAACCTGGGACCCTTCAGTCCCCAGGCCGATACTCTATCCAGTGAGCCAAACCAGCTAGGGCCAAAATATTTTTTAATGAATTCCTTCTCCGAAGACTCTGTAATCTCTTTCCATCCTTTATTTACAGGTTCAAGTATTATATTATTGTGATTAGTGTATATTTTACTTTTTCTTCCAATTACTTTTCTTAGACATTTCATATATGGATAGTGGTATTTTTAAATAACTATTTTGACTGTAATATAGTACTGACCTTCACAGGTTCGATTCCGGTCAAGGGCATGTACCTTGGTTGCGGGCACATCCCCAGTAGGAGGTGTGCAGGAGGCGGCTGGTCGATGTTTCTCTCATCGATGTTTCTAACTCTCTATCCCTCTCCCTTTCTCTCTGTAAAAAAATCAATAAAATAAAATATGCAGGTTGAATGAATTATTTAAAATCTTAAACAGAAAACTGAAGGGAAAATGCTCCCTCAAAGTGATCACATTTTTAAAAGACTGGAATAATTGTAACATGTAATTTTATATATATTTAGAACTGTACTTTATTATTTAAATGGATAAGAATTTAACTTCTCTTTAGGAAATTTAAAAATAAAGTCTGTGTGTATATCATATCTATTTCTGAAGTTAGCATATCTGATATGCTGTTTAGGAATTTTAATGCAAGGTTTGTTTAGAGCAACAAAAACTTAATGGAATAATGATGTAGGCATTTTCTATATAGCCAATGACCTGGTGCGGAATAAAAATCATGTAATAAATTTGTATTCAAGGGGAAGAAATATCAGGCTCTGATATCAGTGGGTCAGAAGAGGATGATGATGAAGAGGGTGAGGTTGGAGAAGATGGAGAGAAAAGGAAAAAAAGAAGGGGTAAGTTCTTTTTAGTTCTAGAAATTACCTTAGATTGCTACTTAATGATGGCTTAACATTCTCAAGGAAGTTGAGTGCATGCCTTTTATTTTGCCATTTTTAGTTACGGTAGCAAGTCAAACAGGAAGTATGACATATACCTGGTTAACTTTTTATTATTATTTTCTGTATTATTTTTCCTCCTGTACTTCTCTGTTTATAGCTGAATTAGAATACCCTATGTTCTATTTTTATTTTAAAATTTAGAATTGTAAGTTAGTGATAGTGGATATACTATTTTATACTTTCATGTAAGGTTTCAATTTTATGTGGGGACTTTTATGTACGTTATGAACCTAAACTTTTTAGGAACTTAGGATAATGTGGAGTTTTTCTCAAGCATAATTAGGCTTTCAAAGTCATTGAATTTTTTAATAAATTTGTATAAGAATTCTAATTTTTCAATTTGATTTTTTCTTTATAAAATGTACTTTCATTCTCACCCTGTTATGTGCCATTTATTGCCAAGTACAAATTAACACTGTTTATTGTGATAAAGATATGGATAACATACAAAAGAGAGAGACATGTTAAATGGCCTACATTAAAAATTTTTTCCCTAAATGTTTGTTTATTTTGGAACTCTCTTCCATTAACATGGGTCATTGTTTTCAAGCTGGTGCATATTTTGCTTGTCTTATTAAAATTATCGTAATCAGGGCAAGATGTTCAAGTGCACATCTTTTGCCATTGCCTAGCTGGCTGCACCCACCCTTTAGGGAGATGGGGGTCATTAAAGTAAACTTAACATTGAAAAAAAAATGATCTTGCTGAAAATAAACCCGTTACTGCTTGATCAGGACTCCAAAATTCACAAATGATAAAGATTTTATAACTTCAAAAGACAGGAAAAGCATGATTTAGAGCAGGAGTTGGCAAAATATAGTCTGCTGGCCAAATTCAGCCTACCACATGTTTTTGTAAATGAAATTTTATTAAACAGCCATGCTTATTTGTTTATATGTTGTTTATGACTGGCTGCTTTCACATGGGACTGTATGGCTCTCAAAATCTAAACACTTATTATCTGTACCTTTACAGAAAATGTTTGCCAAACCCTGACTTAGAGAATCACTTTAGTGTGCATACCTATTTATTTCTTATTTATTGACTTGAGAGAGAGAGAGAGAGAGAGAGAGAGAGAGAGAGAGAGAGAAACAGAGAAACATCTGTGTGAGACAGAAATGTGAATCCCTTGCCTCCCTAACATCTCCCGACCAGTAATTGAACCTGCAACCTGGGCATGTACCCTGACAGGGAATTGAACCAGGACCTTTTGGTGCACAAGACAGGGCTCAAACAACTGAGCCCCACTGACCAGGCCATACCTGTTTTTCACAAAATAAATTATTCAAAGCTAAAGCAGATAATAGATTTATTAAAAATAAAATTTTAAATAGCAAAAAATATTTAATAGTAAAATACCTTCCTTTCAGGCTTAGAAATTATAAAATGTTCAGTGAGCTTTTCAAAGTTTGACCATGAAACCTTAAACCATACATAATTATGTCTATATCTAATAGTGTGATGTTTTAAAGGAGAATGAGTGAAATTGGAGACAAACCATCCTGTCTATAATGTAAGGCAATTTGTCATTTTATAAGTTTAATTATGCATGACTTCAAATCTTAAAACTCAGTTCCTTTAACTTATCAACCTAAATAGTTTAAATAAACTTAAATGTCACCAAATGACTTACTGATTTTTTTATTCTTGTCATTCCAACCCTCTGAATTACTGTGTTTTAGGTGAATAGTGGGGTTTGCCCACAGTAGATGCTTAAAGGAATACAGTTTCTAATTCTGCATGGCTTTGATAGTAGAGCATATTGGCTAGACTCCCAAGACTGGTTTTGAGGGAAAGTAAGTTTTGGTTCTTTAATACAAAGCTTGATTGTCTTTTACAATTCTCTCTCTGGAACTGAATTTTTCTGTGTATGTATTCCTTTTCTTGTTTCCTTTTTCTTTGGTTCCCGTTGGGCTCATTTCTTTGTCTTCCAGGCAGTAGCAGCAGCAGTAGTTCAGACTCCACATGTTCTGTCATAGAGAAACCTCTGGATAAGTTCTTGCCTAGTGAGTGGTAGCTCTTAAGTTCTCTAACAGAGCTTTGGCTTTTTCATAACCCGTGGGCTTCATTTGAGGAATGCTGCACTGCTCCCTGTCATGACTTAAAGAATACATGTTGGACTTCTCAGTAAACAAAGCATGTGATGACCTCCCCCTTCATTGCTTCCAGTAACCTATAATTGTTAAAACATACACTTAAATTTATGTTTGACACAATGGAAGAGAGATTCATGCTCTTGCAATTGAGATAATGTAAAGAGAGCTAGTAAGCTGTATAAAAGAATACTTCTTACGGTTCCTTTTCATGTTTCATGGTTTCATGACAGATTTCTAATCCTTGTGTTAGTATAATGGACATGTAGTAACAAATCCTGACTTTCTAAAACTCAGGATGAAATACAGTGCCAATTATAACATGTCTTACAGTTTATAAAGGTTTTAGGCTTTGGTGTTTTAATCTTAGGGTAGCTTAAGAGTGAAAGCACCCAAATAAATAAATAAAAAGTAAAATTTGAAGCAAGTGAAGATAAATTGAATAGTACTAGTATTTCATATCAAATGGCCATTTATCTCTATATCTAAATTACCTGATTGATTTTAAGAAATTTTCTAATGTATGATTATAGAAATCAAATCCACAAGAAATTGTTTATGCATTATCTGTTGATTTATTTCAAACCTAAAGACTTTTTCTTAAACCTTAATTATTTATATTTCATTTTCAGAAGAAAAGGGAATTGATGCTTTCTTGTACTAGCTTTCAGCTTACTGTCTTTTAAAGCATTATCTATATACTTACCTTTAGAAACCAATAGCAAAAACATTTGATTATTGTTCTTATGCCTTGAGCTTTCTAGAGAAAGAATTCCAAGAATATTAGGAATTGTATTCTCTATTGACAATTCTTAAATTTTACCAAAAACAGTTAATTTCAGAGGATAACATAAAATACATAACATTGCTTTAGAAACCATATAGAGGTATTATTTTGTATTATAAACTCTGAAATACAAGAAAATATCTGAGTGGGAGGCATTAATTTTCTGTTTTAAAATTTACCTTAATCCTTAAAGACTAGTTATATGAAAGTCTATTATGAAATGAGTTGTACTTTGTCCAGTTCAAGCGGTTTGTGCACCTGGCACACAACATTAAGTTCTTTTTTTGTGATGTGGGTGTGCTGATGAAGTACAGAGATGGTTGTCCCAGCATGATTGCTATGTGTAACTTGTATGTACTTTCCCTTTAAAAAATATGAATGGCCTTTTTATTTAGGTGTTCTTTGCTTGAATCATCAATTGATTATTTACTTCTATAGAATCATTGTAATTATCCTTAATGAGCCACTAATTGAATGCAAGTTTGTTATTTACAGGTGTACTTCACTTTATGTAATAAATGTTTTTGGTGTGTATGTTTCTTTTCCTGAAAAAATTGCCCTTAAATCAAGTTGGGAAATCAAATGTATTGAGAGAAGATCTTGCTTTTTAAAAGAATTCTTCATTAAATCCTTTTGTTAATTAAATCATTATTGCAAATTGCTATAATCTAATTTGGGTTGGATTTTCTTAAAGGGAGGCACACCTGTAACAGTTCCTTACATTGGAAGAACATTGAATTGGGAAATTTTGAAAATGGACAGTGTGAATTTTGCTGCTTTTAACTTATTAAATTGGCTTAATTTTCTGTTTTGCTCTTTTAGAATACTTCTCAGGTCTTAGCAGTTTCCCAATTCCATGTCTACTGTTATTATACCCACATGGTGCTGAACTGTTATATTTGCAGGAGTTTGGGAGTCTGTGAGCTCTTCACATTGAATTGAATTGTAATATTAGACGAAATTAATCTTCCTATTATCTTTGCTTAAATTACATCTCTGATTGTGTTGAATATGCTTTACTTTTTACATAAAACTGCTCTTTCAGTTTTGATAGTGATTTGATTTTTTCTTCTTATACTATAAATAAATGCTATTATACATTTTTCTTTGTTTTACATAAGAAATAATGTTTTTCTTTTTTTCCTCTTCATCTCTGTGCATATGCTTCCTGTCTACGATTTGCTTACTACTTCTTATTGAAAGATCAAGCAGGTTGGTGTGATTGATTTGCACTCCCCGTGGTACAATTATTCAAACTATAAAGAACTTTGTCATTTAACTATATTACATTTTTTAAAAAATTTAATGATTTTTTAACAAGGTAAGTACCCACCTTTTGTATTTAAAAAATCTTTCAACTTTAGCTTTAAAAAAAACCTCCATTTTTTTCTAAATAATTTTTTTAAAATTTACTTCCGTTTTTATTGACTTAAATATTAGGAACATTTTTTTATTTCCAAAAGATCTTCTTAGCAGAACAATTCAGAAGTATTAGATTGACAGTGACAGACACACAGGATATGCTAGACCTAATTAACAGCAGAGACAAAAATAATGTATCACCAGAACTAGATGGCATAATCTTTTTTTCTAAAATTTTAAAAGACCCATTAAGCCAAATTTTGGAAATACAAATATAAATAATTTCAGGCATTTTTTCCTTTTTTTTTTTTTTAAGTGAGGAATCAGATGCTTGGTTACTTCTGCCCATGGGTGTTCATATAGTGAAAATGAAATTCAATTAACACTTTTCTGAGATTCTTCCCTTTAACTGTACCTTGCCAATGTCCCCCTTCACAGTTTTGGATAGAGCACATGTCACAGGGCAATTAAAAATATATTTATCTGAAAGTTTGTGCTGAATTCTGTTATGCAGTATTAGAAGCATTTTTTTGTTTGGTTGGTTTTGTTGAATGAAATTTTAAAAAATTAATGTAAAAGTGACTTTTAGTGATTTCATATTTTCAAGTGCCTGGTTAGAAGAGTTGGTACATATCTACATTTAGCTTTAAATATTATTTGAAGAGAAATATAATGATTTATTGGAGTAATTCTGGCAATAATATATTGCGAAATACTAGATTTTTGAAACTGAACCTAGCTATATATACATGGTTATTTTTGTGAAAATGTTACAAGAGCACAATAAGATCTTTGTTGCTAAAACATCAGTTTGAAAATATTACCTGAATGATTTTTAATAACTAATGCAATTTAATTATAGTAGTAATTCATCAGTAGGCATGTGCTTTTGTATTTCTAAATATAAAATCTTTTTATTCTATTGCCTCTTAATGGGCTTGGAAACTATATGGTGGTTTTGTGTGTGTGTGTGTGTGTGTGTGTGTGTGTTTTAACATATTAGAAAGGAAGGGGGAGGAGGGGAGAGAAACATCAATGATGAGAGAGAATCATTGATCAGCTGCCTCCTGCACACCCCCTCCTGGGGATCGGCCTGCAACCCGGGCATGTGCCCTTGACCGGAATCATACCGGGATCCTCAGTCTGCAGGCTGATGCTCTATCCACTGAGCCAAACCGGCAAGGGTGGAAACTATATGCTTTTAACCGTTGACAATTAGAAGCCTGGAGGCCTAAAAAAATTAATGTGCATATATTGACCAGATCATTTCTTTTATACCATTAATATCCATGTCTTCACACATACAGGGTTGTTGTTTTCTCCCCTTAACATATTTGCTGTTTTTTTTCTTTAAATATTTGAAATTCTGAGGTAGAAAGGAAGCTATAATTTATTATGCATGCCACTTACATTATACCTGAACCTACACTTTTCCCCCTCAAATTTCTAAGAAATAGTATTATCAATGGGAAATTCTTTGGGAATAGGGATTAGATTACTTTTCTAAATTATCTTTTAATAGTGTTATTCAGAACATTCAATACAGGTGACTGTGCCAAAGAAGCCAGTAGAATCAGGTCTACATCCTGACTTTTGGAATGCAATGAATCACACCATACCAGAGCATGAATTTGGATCAGTGCTTTTATTTAATCTTTTATTTAACTTATTTGTTTCATGGCTTAAGTTTGCTTCAGACGTATATTTATTTAGAAATGAAGGGTAATATATTTTAAATTAAACCCTTGGGGTTTTTTTACTATAATTTTAACCTAAAGAATTGAAGCCTATGCATGATTCTTTGTCTCATGGTTTCCGAAAGAATATATTCAGATAATATCTATCTCCATCATCATTATTTTTCAGTTCCTTTTCCTTCTTAGCAGGAGGGGTTATTTTGGGTGGAGACATTAACAACTGAGAAAGTCTTCTGGTTTACACTCTTCTGTGGTCCTTGGGAAAGAAGTTAAAAAATACAGAAAGCTCCCAGGAGAGCCTCAGGCCAATTCTGTGAAAAGTTTGATCATTTTTCTGAAGGAAAGTGTGTTTCAAAGAAAGTATATTTATTACCAGAAATGAAAGATCTTTGACTCAGTTTCATAAGCAGCTTAACATGCTAGTTTTATTTTCTCTCTTTGATTTTGCATTTCAACGTCATGATTTTGAAATTCATTCAATAAACTTTTGTTGTTGTTAATCGTCACCCGAGGATATTTTTCCATTGATTTTTAGAGATAGTGGAAGGGAGGGGGAGAGACAGAGTGAGAAACGTCGATGACACGTAGATTGATTGCCTCCTGCATGGCCCCAACCAGGGCCGGGTGGAGCCTGCAACTGAGGTATGTTCCCTTGACGAATCGCACTGGGGACCCTTCAGCCCAGAGCCAACACTCTATCCACTGAGCCAAACAGGCTAGGGCTCATTCAATAAACTTTTATTGAATATTTACAACACTCAATTTAGCACTTTTATTCATACTATTATTTGTATATTAACCACTCTACTTACTAGAATTATAATCAAAGTAATAAATTGGAAACTGTGTTTCCAGCTTGATTATTTTGTAATATTTCTACTTATACTTAATATTTGTATTTAATGTGACAGATTTAGGGTCCTTTGTTTGATATAATAATGAGTTATTTTAGTTTTTCATTTAAAATATGACATCATGACAGCTCAGCAACTATAAAATGCCTGGTTAATTACTATGTAACTGTTATATAATTAGTATAGACTTTTTTCCTTTAAAAGCATACCGTGAAATAAAATATTTTCCAGTAATTTTATTAAACAAAATTTTATAAATACTCTGAAGATATATATTGAAAACTACTTGGTATAAGTTCTGACTGATATTTTTATCTGTTCATTTTAAACATATATGTGACTTTTACTTATTTATTTAAATAAATTATAGGGAAGTATTTTGGGAAGCCACTTTATTTTGTATCTGGTTATCAGAAAAAAGTAACTAAATAATCACATTGCTTTTCCCACCATATATGTTATTTTGAGACACACAGATCTGTGTTTTTTTGTTTGCTTGCTTTGGCTTTCCTGTTAATCTTTCTCTTTTTTTTTTCTGCTCATCTGTTTTGCTCCTCTTTTACTTACTTTTGTCCTAATCATTGCACATTTGGAAAACAGTTTGAATTTAGCAATTAGTTTAAAAGTTCTTCTAAGAACATAAAATAAATTATTCATTTGATTTCCTTAAAATGTTAATATTTGATCTTATATTACTGAGGAATGTACCTTTTATAAAAATGAAGAGAATCTACTAGTATACTGGTCTGAAACATTGACTCTAAAGTGATTGTTGGATAATTGAATGACTCAAACAGGTAAAAAGAAAGTTTCCCCTGATAAGATGGTTGAAATGCAAGCAAAAATTGATGAAGAGAGAAAAGCACTTGAAACAAAGCTTGACATGGAAGAAGAAGAAAGAAACAAGGCTAGGGCTGAATTAGAGAAACGGGAAAAGGATCTTCTTAAGGCCCAGTGAGTATTACTGAATTGATGTAGATTTGTGTTTTAAATTTATTGTATTTTTCCGAGGACTTATGTATAAGGAAAAAAATTGAATAATAATTAAAAGCTTGATTTTTATTTCCAGAGTAGCTATTTTTGGATAGACGGTTTCATTGTGTATGTTGTATTTCTGAAAATTACATGTTTTGATTATTTCCTCTCTTTGTGAGAGGAAAAAATTTTAAGTGAATTTGAATTAGTTATAGATCAAATCATACAGTAATGAATTATCCAGTGGTATAATTTGATAGAGATGTTGCATAACCATATTCCTATTTTGAAATTTTGCATCCAAACTCATTAAATTTGGTAAATGATATTGGTACAATAGTAGATAATCGATGAATATAGAGTATTCTCATTTTAATCAACAGACAAGAGCATCAGTCTTTGCTAGAGAAATTATCCGCACTGGAGAAGAAGGTAATTGTTGGTGGTGTTGATTTATTGGCGAAAGCTGAGGAACAAGAGAAACTTCTTGAAGAATCTAATATGGAACTGGAAGAAAGGAGGAAAAGAGCAGAGCAACTTCGAAGAGAATTGGAGGAAAAAGAGGTATCTTTTTGGTTCTGGTTGACATTTTTTTTCTAGTGAAAAGCTAAATATAATTTTAATAACATTTTAAAGCAGACCCGTGGGTTGCTTTGAAGATGGCTGCTAAGCATATTATTTGTTAAATATGCATATAAGCACAACCAACAGATGCAAGACACTGGGGGAGGGGAGGCAAGGGCAAGTGGGGGGGGGAGGCGGGGGGGAGGTAAGTGGGGGCGGGGGGGGAGAGACATATGTACTATTTGTAATACCTTAAACAATAAAATTTAAAAAATAAATTTGTGATTTAAAGAATAAATTATTCTGAAGTTTATCAATTTTTCTCATAGCAAGAACGCTTGGATATTGAAGAAAAATATACCAGTTTGCAAGAGGAAGCACAGGGAAAGACCAAAAAATTAAAGAAAGTTTGGACTATGCTGATGGCTGCAAAGTCAGAGGTTGGTCTCTTAGAAATTACCTACTAATGTAGTTCTGAATTTAAAAAAATTTATTATTTTATTAAGTATGATTAAGAATCCGAAAGGAATCATGTGTGCTTACAATTTTAAAGAAATAAAAATTTATCCTTGATGTGCAGTTTTTAATTTTAGCTCTTAAATTAAATTTCTAACCTTAACTAATAATGTGAAAAAGACATGTGAGGCTCTGGCCAATGTGGCTCAGTTGGTTGGAGCATTGTCCTGTATATCAAAAGGTGGTGGGTTTGATTCCCTGTCAGGGTGCGTACAAGAGACAACTGGTTGATGTTTCTCTCTCACATCGATGTTTCTCTCTCTCTCTCTCTCTCTCTCTCTCTCAAATAAAATACAATAAAATAAATAAGACATTGTTAGTGTCATTCTGTCCATTGTTTTAGTGAAAGAACTGGGTAAGCTCTTACAGGGTTTCTATGTCAGATTGAACTATTTTGTATTTAAAATCTTGTTTGTCCTTAATATTTTCATTGATTTTCTCATAGATGGCTGATCTCCAACAAGAACATCAGAGGGAAATTGAAGGCCTATTGGAGAACATTCGACAACTTAGCCGGGAGCTTCGGCTTCAGATGCTTGTTATTGATAACTTTATACCTCAGGATTACCAGGTAAGAGGAAAGTTCTCTGACCTAGATAATAGGTCACTTGGCTGGGGTTAAGAAATAAGGAAATATAATTTGTCATTTAATTGGTGGTAAATACTTACATTTCAGTTGTTGATGATAAAATTTTCTTGAACCAATGCCATAACATTTCACTTTAGGTCTTAACTTTTCTTAGTACATAATTCTGTTTGAGTATCTAAGTATCTAAATAAGAACTTCTCAGTCCTTTAGAGAAATCCAGATTCATTTATAGAAGGTGCTTAAATAACATTGTTTCGGTCATCGTTGTTATATCATTGATGAGAAGAAAAAAAAATTGATTCCCAGCCAGGGCCACTGTCTGTATGGAGTTGGCATGTTTACCTCATGTTTGTATGGGTTTTCTCTGGGTCTTCAGGTTTTCTCCCACATCCCAAAGATGTGCACATGATGTGAACGGCATGTCTGCATTGCCCCAGTCTGAGTGAGCGTATGTGTGTGTGGTGTGCCCTGTGATGGAAGGGCGTCCTGAACAGGGCTGGTTTTCGCCTCGTGCTCTCAGCTGCTTGGACAAGCTCCAACATCCCGTGAATATTTTTCCCTGAACTGGATGAGCCAATTGGAAAATAATGATCTTAATCTTTCATCTATATATAATTATCACATTTATTTCAGTGTTTAATATTAGTAGTTTGGGGTCTTTATTTAGAAGTTTGGTGATGTTTTTGTGACCAGAAATATAGACACTTAACTCTTGTTTATATCAGTTAGCTTGTGATAAAATTGGCTTTATTATACATCATTTACCTTAACGTCACAGCTTCCAAGAACCGAACAAAACCTTAAGTGAGGACTTAATGTAGTCACAGTCAGAATCAAGATATAGCTGCTGTTTATTCATTCAATGTCCTTTATCCTATGAATAAAATAAGCAGAACTCCTGTTGGAACTTTTTCTCCCTGCTTATGGATGCTAATTCTCTGTGTGTGGGGGTGGGGGTAAAACATACATAACATGAAATGTACCATTTTAAGTATTTTTAAGAGTACAATTCACTGACATTAAGTATATTCATAATGTTGTACAACCATCATTATTTTCCATTTCCAGACAGATGCTAATCCTTAATACTATTTTTCTTTACCAAAATATTCATCTTTCTAGTACATTTTAGTACACTTTAACATATTGATTTTTTAAAATTTTACTTTGAATCTCTATACAGTTGTAAGCAGTTTGTCTAAAAATAAGCCGTAGTATTTTTTCCTTTGAACATCAGGTGTATAGAATTAACCTTTGGTTCTTGGTACACTCTCCTTATTGGCCCTGGAAGGCCTCCTTTGATTTAATTTGTTATTTTGTAGTGAACTCATCACCTCAAACAAAAGCTAGGACCACTATAGTAACCTACTTCCAATCAAATGGTTCCCTCTCCCTCTTCCCTCCCTTTGCCTCTTCCAACTCAAGGTAACTTTCATTCTGAATCATGTTCTTCATTTCCTTGCTTTTTATTTTTATATAGTTTAATTGCATCTACATATATTTCTTAAAAGCATATATTTTTAAATTTATAACAAGTGTATCATGCAGTACATAATTGAGACAAAATTTCCCCCATAATTTATTAAGATTTTAGTTTCATGAATATTTTCAGTATTTTAAGTATTATTAAATATTAAAAGTAGACTATCTTTGACTCTTAAAAGGAAATGATTGAAAACTATGTCCATTGGAATGAAGACATAGGAGAATGGCAGCTAGTGAGTATTACCTTCATCCTTTCATGGAATCCTTGTGGAGTACTACCTGTAGTCTAGGAATTTTGCTGGCTCCAGTGGGGGGAGAGGTGGTCCATAGGATGAATCAGATGAGACTGCAGTAGGGTGGAGATGTTTTTCTAATTAACTATATTATAATACACAGAATATTCAGTGGAAATGGCATGGGCAGGGCTACATAGTACCAAAGGACTTCCAGGTCCCTTTCTGTTCCAGCATTCAAATTATGTTTCATGAGTGTAACATCAGTAGATCTCACAATAATTTGCTAATTCACAGTATTAATTGCTAATTAAAACAATTCTCCTCTGTCTCTTTTTCCCACCCCCAAGAAATGTGTTGCCTACACAGGAAATAACATGAGGAAGCAAACTCCAATTCCTGATAAAAAAGAGAAAGATGTAAGAGTGCTTTTAAAAAAAATTACAGTGTAAAATATTTATAGGGCTGTGGGTCACTAAGTTATGTGATCAACATGAAATCAGTCAGATGTGCTAGAACAAGTGGGTTGATTTTGGGGAATAGAGGCTCTTGGATGGGGCGATTGTTAGGACAGTTGTGATGGCAGGCGGAGTTCCTCCTCCAAAGAGTGGCATGGAATCTTCTTTGGACTCCCTCTTTTCACCACCTTTCTGGGTCATGGGGATGTGTTTAGCGACCAGAATGTCCTTTTCAAAGCTAGTCTTAGTCTTGGGTCCACAGGAGGAGATAGCAGCTTTGCTGCTAAGGAGTTTATGGTGTGTCAGGGCTCACTCGCCAACCCTGGCTGAATACATTTGAGATCAGTGGAGTTAAAGAAGATGTCTTTAGATACTTGTTTCGTCTTGTCTTCTGTGGCTTTTTTCTAGAGTTTGTTCAGTGCTTTAAATCTTCCCCCAAATCTGATTTGTCTGGTGTTGGTTTCCTTTACTTAAGCCCTTTGAAGTGGACCTTTCCCACGTGTATCTTGCCTACACCGAGGAGAGCCTGCGACAGTCCCTGATGAAATTGGAGAGGCCACGGACTTCAAAGGGGAAAGCAAGGCCAAAGACAGGGAGAAGGTAAGACTGTCTTAGAGTCCCACGAAATCAAGGCAGTGAGATGCTAATTAGAGTCCCACGAAATCAAGGCAGTGAGATGCTAATTAGATATATTTAAAGGAAATTTAGTTAAGATGATAAATATTTTGGCTGATACATTTAAATATCGCAATTCTTGCCCTGACCTGCATTGTTCATGGTCAAGGGCACATACTCGGTTGCAGGTTCAATCCCCAACCCTGGTTGGGCTGTGTGCAGGAGGCAACCTGTCGATGTGTCTCTCTCTCATCAATGTTTCTCTCCCTCTCTCTCTCTCTCTCTCTCTCTCTCTCTCTCTCTCTCTCTCTCTCTCTCTCTCTCTCCTCTCTTTGCTCTCTCTTTGTCTGTCTCCTCCTCCCCTCCCCTTTCCAGTCTCTGAAAATCAATGGAAAGAATATCCTCTGGTGAGGATTGACACACACACACAAATGTTCTTATTAGTTATGATTTGAGTAAATAACATCTTGCTAAAGAATTAAGGTCTTCCAACGTCTTTAGCTGTATTGAGTAATAGATTTTATTTTTAATGTATTTTGTTCTTTCCAAGATATCTACTATCTTAATTCCTTAATTCTTACACTAATTCTTCTAGTGAGACGCTAATTAATTTGCCTGGTTAGACTCTTAAGTATTACATTCAGCTGATTTGTTTTTCTATCATAAACATTGTCCCAATCACTTGATGTCCTCAGTCACCAGTTAAAGAAAACTTCTCTGACCATCTTTTCTTCTCCTTTGGGGGCTGGTTTGACTGTTGAGTAGTCTGTATGTGCCACCACCTAAGCCCAGGGAACCAGGACGTGAGAGGCTGGAGCTTAAGCTTCTCCCTCTGCCCTCCATCAAGTGCTGTTGAGCTTATTTAAACTGATTGTAAGACTTTGGGGCTCCTGAAATGAGAGGGAATAGTAAGCTCATTTTACCCACTGCTTTGAGCACTTGGATTTTTGAGTTACATGTAAGGTGAGGTTGTATGGGTTTAATATTTTTTTGTTGCATGATCTCATAGACATGACCTAACATTTATAAATTTGGGATAGTTGAACTCAAGGAGGAGGAATCAGTACCATATTAAAAGTGCACAAATTTTACATTCTTTAGCATTTATGTGCTAGGGGTTAAAAACTCTTCATCTGCCAGCAGAAGCCATGCATTAATGAATGAAGCATAGCAGTTCAAAGAAACATGAATCTCTTTAGACCTTTCACTTTTCCACTTTTAATAGAGATATTTTCCTCTTAACTCTGAAGTTAGTAAGAAAACTAACAATGCAAGTGTGATGATAAATGGTAAGACAGTTGGCTTCAGCGTAGGTGAAAAATAGGCAGCCGTGGGGAGGGGACAACATGGAGAGTAGTCTGTCCGAAACGAGTGGCTGCTACCTTGCTCCTGGTTAGTTTTGGGACTAGAGGGCCCATTGTTTCCAACGCCTCTTGTTTCAAAGAAGAAGCCAGAAATCAAATTATTTAAATGAGATCTCTCCATTTTCAGTCACTTTTTAAGAACGATGTGGACCTAAAGCAAACAAACAATTTAATGTTATTTGGATACAGTTTTCAGAATACTCATTTAAAAATATGTACCTTTTTGGTAAACAAACAAAACAAAACAAAACAAACATGTGAGCCAACATTACATTAGCCAAACCCACCATCTCTGTGCATCAGAATTAGCCTGCTGTATTATGAAAACAATAGATGTTCTTAAACACAGACAAATATACACATTAAATGGTTTATTGATACTACATTACATGATAATGTTCAGTGTATGTTTCTCATTAGAAATGCATAGTGCAATATGCTAAGCAAAATTGCAATAAACATGGTACATTAATGTAGCATTTACATCAGTCCCTACATGTGCATCTGTACTGTATTGCCTCAGATGATGTTGTCTCTGAGTAAACCCGCACCTTTAGCCTACCCTGGAAGAGATCATCAGCAGGTTCAATCTGGCAAGCATGCAGCCACTTGGCCTGGCTGCGTTGTCTAGTCCAGTTTTGGAAATTATCATCCACTCAATTTCTCACCTCTCTGGGTGGAGGGTGGAGTGCCATGATCTTGCACCTATTCTTGGTGACCTTTCCCTCGCCTGAAAAAGTGGGCATGAATTGATCTCTTAACATGGTCAAACCTTGGCCTGGTTCTAGGCTCTATGCCCCCTTGTTTTATCTTCTACATAATGTAAAGTGTTTGCATTTCAGTCTTTTAGGAAAGTCTTCATGTTTTCTTTTTCTCTTCTCCAAACAGAAAGCGTTCTGCAAAGCCTGAAACTGTAATTGACTCTTTACTTCAGTAAATGTTACAGACTTAAAGTCTCAATAAAAATATCACTATCGTCATGCCTGGACAAAATATTTAATTAAAACACTGAAGACTTTTGTGTAATTTCAAGTAATGAAAGCTGTAAGTCATGGAGTGAGACTGGAAGTAGTAATTTGTCTAATAATTTTTAGTCTATATATGTCAATATAACATTGAAATTGCACAACTGGTAATTGTTCAAATAGTCATATTACTCTTCATTTTATACTATGCAGGGAAGTTGGGGAGCAGCTCCTACTATAGAGAGTTGCTGTCGAAATGCATTCATAAATCTGCTAGTAATTTGCTCAACTCCTGTCTATTTACATAACTGGATGTTCAAAATGGAATAAAATGTAGGTCCTGTCTTGCACATAGACAGCAGTTCTAATTGTCCTGTTTTGCTGTTGTATATGAATGTCTGAGCTGCGTATCTAAGAAACGATTCAATCCTAACACCCGCCCGGCCTGTTTAAATATGTTCTCATTTTTGTGTTATCTTTATTGCATTTTAAGTATTAGATGACCTGTAGAAAATTTATAATTTACAAGCAATCTTTAGAAGTACACGTTGAAAATATGTTTGAACTGTACCTCTCTTGACCTTTTTTGCCATTTAGAGTTTAAATCAAATATACTTTTGTTCTGATTTCATGTTCTCTTAAAACATTGAGTATGTACCTAATTATAAAGGAGTCACAGTTGCAGGAAATTAAGCTAAATACTGGTCACTAGTCTTTGCTATATGTGTATATTTTTTAAAATTTATTTTGAAGTGTGATTAATGGATGCTTCCTTTTAAGTTCTAAATTGTGATGAAAATTGAGTCTCCATTTCCCAGAAAGTACAACTAAAGCAAGAAAAATAGCTTTTAATCCTCTACCTTTAAAATACTTTGTTTTGTTTTTTCTTTATAGTTTATTAAAAGAAATATTCTTCCTTGAATTTCTTCCATTGACAAATCCAGTCAGACCATCTTCCTCTAAAAAATAAAAATAATACTTATTTTATAGTAAAATAACTTGTAACATATAGAATTGTGTTTTCCTTTTTGGCTGCTTACAAAATTTTTGTTTTTATTTTTTTTTTATTTGTAAATATATTTTATTGATTTTTCACAGAGAGGAAAGGAGAAGGATAGAGAGTTAGAAATATCGATGAGAGAGAAACATCGATCAGCTGCCTCCTGCACACCTCCTACTGGGGATGTGCCCGCAACCAACGTACATGCCCTTGGCCGGAATCGAACCTGGGACCCCTCAGTCCACAGGCTAACGCTCTATCCACTGAGCCAAACCAGTCAGGGCTGTTTTTATTTTTTAATGTTATGTTACACCACTGAATATATCTTTTGTGAATTTTAAAATAAATTAGCATTAAGTTAACATTAGTTTAAGAAGTTTGGTTAAATGGTTTATAATTACAAAGCCATGTATAGAGTGGGGGTGAGTAAAGGTGGTGTACTTGTGAGGTGGTAGTAAAAATGTGTCCATAAATTTAAAGTACATTACAAAGGTGTGTACTGAATGTCCTGTGTATGGTGCATATTTTCTAGGTAATAAGAATTGCATTTAACTGGTAGTGTTTTCTTTGTAGTATGTAAGATAGAAGTTTATAACTTTACTCTGTGAGGCAATTGTTTACGTACTGTGAAGGCTTGAGGTGAATACGTGTCTTGTAAGAGCTTTGTGTGAGCAGAATATCTTGGCAGTTGTAGATGCACATTTAACTGTTAGTAATTATTCTAGGGAAATCTTAATTTTACCAATAGAAAGAAAAGATGAATACTTCTTTTTAGAAGTTCATGTTTATCGCCAACCCTTTGCACTCCGCTGTCCCCTCTCAGGGGACATCGGAATTCTAGCATATCACTCGGATGTCCCCTCTCAGGGGACATTGCAGTTTATTAGTGATTACGGGGAATTGAGTTATTTCAACGCAACTTTTTGAGACATGCATGTTTCCCTGAAGTTTTATCTTGAAATGGCACAAGAAATTAAATCAAAATATCGTAAAATTACTAAGATATATACAAGAAATGTCAGCGGGTTTTGTGTCGGATTAAACAATAAACTACATATTCCCGATGTGGGACAAAGAAAACGGGACTGCATTGTGTGCTCTAACAGGAAAACACCTGGTGGCAGGCGTCAAACCACTTATTACTGTCAAACATGCACTAATCAGCCTGCAATGCATATTGGGGAGTGTTACAAAACTTATCATACTGTACAAAATTATAAACAATAAAATATTGTTTTTTTTGCAAATATACATTCCTCGATGTCACCCAATTCATATAAGTCCAATATCATTATAATACGTTACTTGGTTCCAAAATTATACTAAATAATACGAGGGTCTGTAAATGCACGTTTCCGCCGCAAAGTAGCGTCGAGTAGCTGGTAGCCAATGTCCAGAATGGTTCGGAGTGCAAAGGGTTAATTATCTAGTTAATAAGAAAGGAATAGCTTTTACATTAAGCTCTAAAACAGCACAGAAAACTTAAGCCAGTATGTTAGATTGTTTTCTATTCCACTCCACTATAATAACAAAAAGAAACCTATAGAAAGTCAAAGCATTAAAAATTTTTTTTTAAAATAGGCTACTTTAGCAGTTTTTTAAAAGTATTTACATTAGAACTTATACCAGATGGACAATAATTGTTCATCTTATGAAATAACAGAATTATATATTTAGGCAGGCCTGACTCATCCGTATGAAAACATGGGACACTGACTAGACAGCGATTCTCTTAGCTCCAATCATAGCAGTTCTGTGGTTTCTTCACACTTACTGTGTCTTTGTGCACAGATAAAATATTTTGTAACTTCAGTGTTAATTTCATATAAGGATATAGATAAGCAAACTTGCTCATTATATGAAATAGACAGACTTAAAATGAGTGGCACATATAAATAGGTTTTTGAATGGGTATTTTCTCTTTAATTTTAAAAAGTATTATTTATTTATTAAAAGGAGCCTTGGTAGAATGTTATTGGTTGTGGTATATTCTTTAATAAGCCCTGTAATTATATATACTGATAGTTAGGATATTAAAATATCATCGTAGTCCTCATTTTTGTTTAGGTGCTTGTATTAAAGTATAAGATTACTCAAGGAGGGAGGTCTGAATCCATGTGTTTATCCCACAAATAGAATCCATTTGATCTACTTTCTAGGAAAAGGGGACCTTTCTTTTTGCAGCAAGAGATTTAAGGTCACTTGGGATTGTGGGGGGGGGTGCCACTTCATCTGTAAGATTTTTAGAAAAATTATGATTATGATTTTTGGGTTTGTTTCTTCATAGTCTTTTTAAAATGTCTTTCCCCTTGACTCTTAAGGAATGTCCCTCTCTTTCCTACAGGGCTGTGAATTAAGGAATTGGTAGGGTGTACATTTAAGCACTCCAGTGTCTGCCTAATTTCTTAATATATGCATTTTTTTTCCTTTTTAGCTATTTTTAATTTAAAATACTAGAACAAAACATAGATCTTCCTAGTGCCTTTGAACTTACACTGTAGTTTGACTAGTTTAAATCATTAATAACTTCAGTAGCATTGCTATAATACTGTATACTGGCCTAAATTACAAATTGTACAATAAATTTGTTGCATTAATTTCAAAAGCCACACTTCCCATTGTATTTTATGTATAAATTGTATTTGTTCAAGTTGTACATATTGATATTGTATATACATGTGCAGCATGGTTAAATAAGAAATAAAAGTGTTTACATAATGCCTGTAGTAGCGATCTGCTTCTTTATTGAACTATTTTGTGTTTATGTCCATCCTGATATTAACAGGCAGTTTTTTGTACTTGGCATCTCAGTTTCATGTGTTTAAGAGAGGCCTGTTTAGCCCTAGCCAGTTTAGCTCTGTGGTTAGCACATCGCCCTGTGGACTAAAGGGTCCCGGGTTCGATTTTGGTCAAGGGCACATACCTTGGTTGCAGCCTCGGTCGGAGAGCGTGCGTGGGAAGCATTCAATCAGTGTGTGTCTCTCACATTGATGTTTCTTTCAGTCTCTCCCCTACCTTCCACTCTCTCTAAAAATCAGTGAAAAAAAAATCCTTCTAACGAGAGAGAGAGAGAGAGAGAAAGAAAGAAACACACCTATTTAATTTCACACCCAGAAACTCTCATGCTGGTGTGAGTCTTTAACAGAAAATGGGAAGAGAGATTTTTAAATGTGCTTCTCATTGATAAAATTAGTTTTCACCAAAAATATTTTTATCCAAGTTTTGTTATTCTTTTCATTAGTGTTGAGAACAGAAACGTAAAGAAGTATGTGTGCAGAATGTATCTCACTAAAAGGTAAAAGGAGACATTTTTGAGTGGTGGCAATATCATGATCTCTTCACAATTGTAATGAGATTAAAATATCTTCAAAACAATAACAGTGCTTGGGTTAGTGTTATCATGGGTTCTTTTAATAACTACTTAATGATTACCAAGCACCATGCTAGAGCCTTATCGTCACAAAGGGGTCCAGAAGTTCTGATTTGTTGGCACGTTTCAAAGAACTTGTGTGCTTTTTGCAGAGGAGAGGAGACATTTCAGGGCTTGCTCTCTTCCTTGTCCCGACTGCTAGCTTATGTAAAACTCTAATATGTGTGTAGAACATGAAGATAAAATTAAAGACCTGCCCTGGCGTCAGCAACATGTTGTCCATCCCATCTTCTCATGAAAACTCCCAGAAATCAAAGCAGAACCCCCAGTATCAGCCTAAGGGACCTGAGTAGCCTGTGCCTAGGGGAGCAGTGACAGGGCTCTGAAGCCACAACTTACATCCAGCTGAGCCCTCCCTCTGAACACATTTGTTACAACATTATCTGAATGTCGCATTCTTCAGCCGTGTCATTTGCAAAGCAAATCAGATACTCAGTCCTCCTTCGGAAGCTGAACAAACGTGTGGGAAAATGATTATGAAGAGGCTACTTCAAAAAGAACCGGTTTCCTCTCAGCATTTATCTTGGGCTTCCTGTGACCCGATCTTCAAGCTGCTTTTATCAACGTGATCAGAACATCACTTTGTCTTACCCAAACACGTTTATGGCTCTCACTAAAGAATATGGCAGATCAGACATCCTTCCACGCCTGCTCCCCTCCCCCATCCCTGTTTTGAGGGTGGGGGAAATTTTAGTTTTTAATCAAAGGCTTTATTTCTCCAGTTGTACAAAGGAATTTAACTGGGACTTTACAACTACATACAATTTGTCTCAGAGTTGATACCAATCTTAGCAAGAGGATATTGCCTAACTCAACCTAAAAGTACAGAGTCATTACAGAAATACTGTGCTGACCTTGATTTCTCCTCCGTCCTGAGTTATGCTGCTCAGTCACAGGTGTCTTCTGGATTTCCCGTGTACCCACCCTGCGCTGTGGCCACGTCAATGGAGAATGACAGCGCATGTTGAGGGCTGTCGTAAAGGAGGGTGAAGGGGGAACAGCCAGGCGTGGATTCTTCCCTAGCAGCTGACACGGTGCCTAGCACACGTCTACCTGACCAAAAGGCCAGAAAAGGCTGTTCCTCCAGGGAACTGCTGTGGGAGGTGGGAGGCAGTCCAACATGCGGGGAAAGGCAGTCCAGGCCTGAATCCTCATGCCCTGTGCCTTGGTGGTAAGTTGGGCAAAAGGGGTGGGACAATGGAGCCTGAACAGGA